AAGAAAGTAGCGTAGGACAAAAAACCTAAACCAGACAGAGAACTTTTAAGAAGTTTTATATCCATCCATCCATCCATCCATCCATCCATCCATCCATCCATCCATCCATCCATCCATCCATCCATCCATCCATCCATCCATCCATCCATCCATCCATCCATCCAATCTTCTCAATCCATCCATCTCATCCCACTAGAATTTCTCCCATTGAGATGGCTTTCACAAATTGCATTTCATTTAACACATTTACTTGATTCAGTCTACTCACCATTGGCAACTGATAAAAAAAAATTGAATTTGAAATGTATTTTAAAGTTAAGGAACTTAAGTTTAGTTACTTGTTCATTTAACTTTAGTTATTTTGGAGGTTTGATTGACAGTGGGTTGCTTAGTATTGTTTATATGGTTTGTTTTCTTTGTAGTTTGATTGAAATTAATTTGTGTAAATTTACAAACAATTAAGTAATTATCTATCTTTGTTTTTCTTTTGGGTTTGTCCAAAGGTTTTTACCTGCTCTGGACCAAATGTGGAATATCCTGACATGCACTAAATAAGTGAAGGATAAAAATGAAGAAAACCGCTTGGTCCTTTGAGTAAAATCCTGTTTTTAAAAAGTCTGCATCCATTCATCCATCCCTTCTCAAGTGGGGAAGTTGCACGATTGAGAAAAGAACTTGACAAACTCTGCAGTAGATCTGTTTGACTGGAAATAATGGATGATTAAAAGCACAAACACACTTTGCAATCTCCAAAATCATACAGGATTTGAATGTGTCTCAACATTGTAAAATGTTAATGGTAATTTGTGTCACACTGTACGAGGGAGAATATCAGGCTGCAAGACTCGTATAACAAAATCTACTCAGAAAGATCCAACAGAGACACAGATCCGACTACAAATTGACTGCAAGTTATGTTTGTTAATGATCTTCTCATGGAGAGAAGGAGGAAAAGGCGAGCATACATTGACGTGCTCAAGCAGGAGAGTGCAAAGCATGATATGATAAGATGTTCCTCAATTATCTGAACAAGTCTGTAATTCGGCCTGCACAAAGCATTATTGTTTACAGACATTTAAACACAAACAGTCAAAAGTTGCTGCTTGCTGTGTAGATCAAATTAAACAACAACAGCCCAGCAACTCAGGCTCACAACTCTGAAAACTAAACATGTTGGTAAGTACACAAATTTGTTCATTCATTTGGAACCTCTTTCTAAATGTACCCAAGAATATTAGCACATATTGATACATTTGAGTGTTATATTTAGAACATGCAGATGGAAGAGCATTTATTGAGATATAAACAAAAACAGTCCAAGAACAGATCCTTGAGGAACAGTTGTGAACAAATTTACAGCAGAGGACTCTTGATTTTCTGTTTGGGCAACACATATTTGATTGTAATTATATATGACTTCTGCATCATAATAGGGCATTTCATACATAGTATCATGTTAAAAACTATATTTTTACTTTTTCTACTTGAGATCAAGTACATAATGTGGCATTTCATCATAGATGCTCTGGAAAGAACATGTTCAGTACACAGTTTCGGCTGGAAAGCTTTTGTGCAGCAACTATTGTTGCAACAAAATAGCTTTATTGACAGCAGACATAGAAAACTCAAATTGATGGCCTTATTGCACCATTTGCGCCAGGCTTTTCACCGAGAGAAATCAAATGGAGGAATGTTTTAAAAACACACACGCGCACACACATTTCAAAGATTGTGGCCGACATGAAAGATGTTTCTCTAGTGGTTGCAGTCAAAATAATTCTTTGAATAAAGCTTTGACAGGCTAAATTAAATCACCAAAAGATTGAGCTGCTTTTAAATGCAGAGATTCCTAATACATCAAAAAGAAAGGCTGGCTGACCTCGACAAAAGCCCAATGACTGATGCTGTTGTGACGGGTGATGAATTAAAATGGAGTTTGTAAAAGTAAAATCCATCAGTTGAAAATAGGCTTTGATAAATATTGGCACTTAAATAGAAGAAGAAAAAAAACATTACCAGTCACTGTTGGTTCTGTCAAAGGAGGTGGGAAATGAGGCGTTTTTTTATTTTTATTTTATCTGCCATCTCGATCTTTACTTGTTACAACATTTCACAGCTAATATTGCTTCTCTAGCAAATACATATAGGATGTAACATGCACAAGGTTAAAGTCTGCCTTTGACAGTGGATGGTTGGCAACATCTAGTGGTATCTTTCATGGATACCCTCAAAGTGCTGAAAAGACATAGAGGGGGACAGCAAATTTGCCCATCAAATTTTATGCATTTCGACAATGTTTTCATGATTATAACAAAATGTAATCCTTGATTTAAAATTTTTTCCATCAAAGCCCTATTTTACCTGGAAACAGGGATTGCATGTGCGTGACCACACGTTGGTAACTTTTGGTCAGGATTTTCTGGTAGTGAGCAGGAACCACAGTTACATTACTTACGGTAATTTGGGTCTTAAGGCAGCAAACAAGGGTCACGTCATACTTTGACCTCGATGTTTTATTGTACACGCTCCTTTTCTTTTCTCAAATACTGTGTTGGTTTTACACCAAATGTAGCAAGGCACAGAATATTTTGACAAAAGCCTTGGGATCATTGGAAAGTTTTAGGTGAACCTGGAAGGAAATTTGTATTCTTTTCTCTTGGAGTTCTCTTCTAAATGTCATTTGTGCCCAGTCTGTCTTTTTGTCCAAGTGATCTTTTGGCTCTATGGATGAGACTAGCTGTGGCTAAGGAAATTAGATCCAACAAAAGGCTTCAGTCATACTTAAGTCATAATTGATCGAGTGGAGAAACAATATAAATGTCATACATTTGAGAAAAATAATACACTGAGATTCTGCATTATTTTTGGCATTTCTTTGAAGTCATTAAATGCTTTTCTATTGGAGCCCAACATCTTCTTTACCTAAAATATTGATATTTTTTCTGCCAAATTAAAGGAATTTAGATGCACGAAGACTACTGTACACGTTCAACTCCACATCTTTCAGTTTTCAATTGAGTATCTCCAATTTCTACAGTTAAACATTGCCACCTAGTGGTTGTATTACTTACCTGCACAGCGGCGGTGGAGCCTCACTCTGACAGCTGTGACGGTTCCTCAACAAGGATGATCATTAGATTTTAAACACTAATATGGTAGTTTGAAGTTGAATAAACTCCACAGTTGGACAGTAAACGTTTCCATGTGATACAATTTAGTCTTAATGTTCTGTATTTTACAAAATAATTTAAGTTAAATAAAACTTCCACTGCTAATGGTCAATATCCTCTGTTTGTCTACAGAGGATATTTATTAAAAAAACAAGATTTTTGAAATGTTTTTTATTTATTTATTTTGCATTTAATCAAATTTTCTATATCAACTTGTGGGATATATTTGTATAAACTGAAATAATTATTCTATGAAGTGCATTAGATTGTGTTAGGAGTGGGGGAAAAAAAATGAAAAAAGCTTTTTCTTTGTCATTTTTTTCTTTAATTGACAGGGAAACATCCTTCAGGACAATGGTTGGTCATCACACAGTAATCAGCAACAAGACAATAAGTAGCATCCATTTGCTGAACCTCTGGACGTGTCCTGTCCCCTCTTTTCTTCCTCTGAACGTAGGAAAAAAGCTCCTTATTGCAGACAAATTGAGTCTCAAAACAGACAAAAACAGCAGCTCCCCTTCTTGTAAGGCTTGGGGGGAGTTGGGGTTGAGGAAGGAGCGCTTAGGTCAAAGAGTTGAAATAAAAATATGGCAAGCAAAAGAAAGAAAGAAAGAAAAAGAAAACAAGAACAAGGCATTTTATTTAAATAACCGCATGTTCTGTCACAGTTTAAACGTTTAGGTTGTATTTTTTGAAAGAATTGTTTCCTGTAAAGAGCATGATCATCACCTCAGTGCTGACCAAGAAAATGCAACTAATCTAATCGGTCCTTTAGAGCGCATCAGGGCCAAAGCTACTCCTACGTAAAATATATGAGTTTCACTATCACCAGAGTTTCTAAAATGTTCAGAGTACTAGAAGGAAAAGTGAAAAAAAGCTCCTTTACTTCGAGTTTCTTTCTTTCTATAAAACTGTATAAAGAGGAGACTGGTCCTCTGTGTTTGCGCAACATCGTACAGCAACTGATGACCCCATATTGCATTGGACCATAAAGAATAAGGTCATTTGATCAGGATTTTATCAGATACAAATAATCAGAGCCCAGAGCAATTAGGTAGTCAATCTACAAATTGTAATGTCTGAAAATGTAAATATCAAAATCTCTAAAACATCCAGGAGATTCTTTCCCAAAAGTTATTTTTTTTTCTTTTTCTCAACAAATCAGAACATGCAATAGTCAAAAGCGTTTTCCTCAAAAACAGGATTTATATATCAAGATCCAAAGATCTGTAAATCATAAAAACGATTCAGCTGTCTCTCTGTCAAACTGTACTGATTAACAGGGCAATTACGCCTTACAGGTCGGGGCTGTCTGCGCTCCAACAAAGAAGAGGGAGACAGAGAAGAGGCTGTCCTCGTACGACATGAAACCTCCCCGTCGCTGATAATCTGTGCAGAAAGAGGACAAGGAACAAGACGAGCAAACACTGTATAAAAAACAATGAGCAAAAGGAACTGTGCAATGTTCAGGAAGAAATGACAGTCTCGCTGAGTCCATGTTCAGATCTGCCTCCAGAGCTGGAAGAACAGCACTATGAAGAAATGAACTAGCTCTCAACTGTGCTCATAAGCAGCGACATGTGAGGCTGACACACTGTGATTATTGGTTATTTATGTTTATCTCACCGTTTTGACCTCGACATGCATACAGCGTGGGAGAGGTAACGCTAATGAGCGAGCAAAAAAAGTAATGATCGAGTAATTATGGCGGCTATAATCATCTTCATAACTGATCTGGTGCTTAGGTGGCTCTCTAAGATTTCCAATTGCCCATTTGAGACAATTCACCAGCCTCCGAAATGAAGTCAAATGAGTTAAATATTCATGAAGTAAGATTTTAAAAGAAATATTTATTTTTTTTCACAATTTTTACAACACAAACCAGCAGAGACGTTGCTTACTTAAAGGGAAAATGTCATCATATTTTACAGTCTGAAAACCTATAAATATTAAGTGTCTCAAATATAAATTTTTCACAGTCTGGTTTGAATCTACCTCCCTAAAATTGAAAGGTGTAACTTCTAAAAGTGGAAGATGACGTAACATACGTATTAGCAGGGCTCACCGATTTTTTAAAAGAAAAAAACTGACTTTTTTTCCCTTGACAACACCAACAAAGAGCTTTCCAAAACCAATCAAGTCAAACAGTTTTGTGGCTGTCTTATGGCAATGCAGCGAAGGAGCACATACCACAAAGTTCTGTATGCAGAACCAGAAAATTGTGGGCGAATCTGTTGATCATGTCAACGTCTCCCTCCAAATGTTCCTTCGGTGCATTTACCCACCCTCGAGCAGAGGCTCATTTTCTTCTCAGGGAGCTGAATGAACGATGAATTACATGTTAATTATAATGCTCACCCAGTATTCACGGGGGTTAGGGACAACCTTGACTGACTAAAATCTGAAAATACTTAAGACACCTCTAAAATGGCATACCTGTTTTAATAGTTCAAACACAAAATATGCCATAATATGCATTAATATTAGCAGTAGAAGCCATCTTAGCACTACTGTATAAACCTATATAGTCTTTGTTGTCTCTGCATTTTGTAGCCAATTAGCAAAAATAAATGGTGGATCAGGATTGAGTGCTTTGCAAATGCCAGCCAATAGCATGTCGAGTTGAGTTGCCTGTAGGTGTTCTAGCACTCCAAGCGTTATTTTCTTTGGAACACATCATTGTCAATGGCAATCGAAGGAATTCTGATTCTGATATGGAAAAATATGCAAAAAGGCCCATTTTTCATGGATAATGTTAAGTTACGTTCCACAGAAAAAAAAATCCTTCACTCTATGAATCTGCAAATGCTGAACAGGCAGGAGTCCATCGTACTTCCTCTCTTTTCCTGAAACCACGTTTAGAATTAGCTTAAAGTGGCTTTTCAGAAGCGATGACATATTGACTAAAAATTTCTATCCTTTTATAGTGTAGTAGAGATAAATATAATGAAAATCAAGAAACACGGACTAATGATCAATATGTGAGAATTTCAGCAACTTCCCTCCACCAGTCCTTTGTCTCATTTGCAGAACTTGCAAAGTATTCCAGTGACGGCAGAAGACACCACAGTGACAAAACTGGTCAGAACCAGAGCAGACATTACATCTACTTCAATACTGCCAGAGTGTGTTGGATGTGTTGGTTTCGATTGGAATTGTTTTGTAACTTGTTCCGATGGCAAATTACAGGTACACCCAGCCTAGCAGCAGAAATGTGACTTCCTCCTGTTGACTGGGTAAATCACCACAGAAATATTCAATTTCAGAGCTTGAGTTTAAGCTTGAAATTTTGCTGTCACAATTTCTGTGTTACCTGGCCATTGGTATAGAAACTGATGGCTGAGTTTGGATTTTCAAAATGTGACGTCATCACTTTTCAGCTACTTTCAGAGGCATTTTTCGTCCAAATCTCGAGTTTTGGACATAGCTATATAAACATAGCTACAGTATGCTTATGAACATAACTGAATTTAAAAAGTTGTAAAAAAAAAAAAAAAAACATGATGATATTCACCCTTTAATGTGTTGATTTGGTTTGTAAACAGCTATTTTCAAATTTCTAATTCATTTGATCAGAGACAGCATCAAAGCACTTTGGTTTTCTCTCAGATCGCTGAGGACTTGTGCATGCTCCATGCTGATCACCGCAAGACATTCGAAATAAAGCACAATGAGAAAGAGAATGAAAATAAAAATAAAGCATCATGGAATAAACAACGCTGTCCCAGCCAGCTGTCTTTAGACTTTTGAAATAACTAAAGTGTACGTCTCATGCACATATATGCCAAACAAGACTGAGCTGAAAAACAACTGGATCAAAACACATATTGTGCTGCGTCAGAGCAGAAGTACGGCTCTGTACGACAATATTCAGCCACCAGAACAGTTTGTGTGGTTTGTCGGAAAGCTGTGGCTTTATTTCATCTGGCGTGGAAAATAAGTATGATCCATTGCGAAAGATGAAATGCTAGTCTAGAGAGGAGGAAGGAAAGAGAAAAAGTGGAATGGCAAATGGCTTATTGAGTCCTCAGTAGAGATGCTCGTCACTCTTCTGCTTACAGTAACACCCCAGGCCGGTGGGCCTGAGCTTTTGGAGGGAAAAAAAACAAAACTGCAGTACCAAACCCTACGGCCACACCCGCCCCATCACAGCCATAACGAGGCCATGCATACCTACAGCAGCATGACCGCTAGAAATAGTAATATCCCTCGACCGTCATGTAAAAAAATCATCTTATATCATGTATTTATAACAGTTCTACAGTATGTATGAATACGAGGATGTGGCTGTCTTATGTAGTGTGGATGTCACTATATTTTCCACATATATATATTTATTTATATATTATTATTGCACTCTGGCTACACATATTTAGAAAGTTAGTTTGGTTGTCTTTAGATGTACAGAAACACAGGTGTCAGAGCTGATCCAGCCGAAGCACAGCAGCAGAAGAGAGGCTCAGTGATGCCACTTTGAATTTCTTTGTATTTTCCCTGCATTGCAAAATTACACACGCTCCTTGAACTTTTTCACATTTTGTCACTTTACGTTCACCAACATCGATGTTTCATAATGGCTTTTTGTTGGTGCACTGCAAGTCTTTTTCTACTAGCTTCTTTTATCGTTTGTAATAAAATAGCTCAAGCAGTCTTGAACAGAAGTGTTTTTAAACGCAAGTTGTCAAATCTTGACATATTCGCAGTTTGATTTAGGTATGGACTTTGATTCTTGTAGGCATATCTAAACCATTCTTTTGTTGCTTTGCGTGCATTTTTAATTATTAGTCTCGAATAGGTTTTATTTTTAGAAACTTTTTCTTTCCATTAACTCCCAACAGCTTTCTTTTTGCTATACTGAAAGGCTAAACCCTGCAGCATGATGCTACCACGCCTTGTTTTACCGTAGGGAAAGTGGCTAATGCGATGTGTTGTCTGATCAATGCGCTTCCTTCCATGTTTACGTAGCTTGTGGCAAACTGAAAACTGGACTTATGTGAAAAAGTTTAATGAATATAAATGTTTTACAAGGCATTGCAGGTGCTAGTAGATTAGGTATTTGTGTTTTCCTAAAGACAACACAGTACGGCTTTTTGTCCTCTAAAATTTACTGAAAAATCCCTAATTCTGAAATTAACTTTTTTAAAAACCAGTGCAAAGCTTCCCTAGAATTTTTTGTTCTTCAAATGTTCAAGATCTTTTTTCTTTATGGTTTAGATCCACCAAAAACTTACGTGTTTGCACCACTGAGCCTGCTTCCCCAGACTGTTATTGAGACACCACGTACACAAAAGTCTGAGACAAAACTACAGAAAAAAACATCACACGCCAGTTCTCTCCTCTGATGCTTCGTCAAAATAGAAAAATAAAGTCCCTCCCCTCGACCTCGACTTGCAGTTTGAGAGGAGATTCAATCGCCTTCACCACTCTCGCTGGATCTTTTAGAAGAAACATACATTCACGAGAGGACAACAGAGGAAATACGAGCAACTTGAAATTCAAATCTGTGTGCAAAAACATTATAGACCTCTATAAAAATATGTGCATATGGATAGAGCTATCTTTAAATCTCACCAAATACATTTTTTTTCCTTTTATTTACACGTGGACAAAAGAAAAAAAAAAAACTACAGTTCTGCCGTGCTCCCCCTCTCTGTCGTCGCGAGAATGAGCAATTTCGACTTCGGTGACGATGGACTCGACAGAAACCTCGCACGTCGCATTTACACTTTTCCTCTCTGATCAATGTGATCGAGGAGCAGAGAAGGGGCGAGCAGAACATCTGCAGAAAACCTGAAGTTGCATATCCCACCGTTCCCCCTCCCACGCTCGCGTTTCACAAACCGCCTACCCTATTTAAAAAGAAAACAACGCAAAAAAAAGGAAACAAAAAGGGTCGGCGGTCACCAGCCAGACGCTGCTTCCTGATTGGCTCGCGTGGGTGAGGACAGTGTGTGAAAAAAACTTTGGCTACAGAGTAAGGTGGCTTCAGTCCTGTTGTGTGGTGAGGGGATCAGCCATCGACACACTACAGTGAGTGATACTAGAAATGTCCAGCCTTGGCGGATTCTTTTTTTCCCTTTTTTTTTTTTTAAGCAAGAAAAAAATGTATCCCGCCATCTGTTTTAATCATGAGGAGTTCATTCCCATGTTTTCCTGGAAGGAATCAATGTCTTTTCTTTTTATAACTAAACAAAGACAAATTAAATAACCTCTCTTTCCTTTGTCAACACCAAACACTGCTGAGGTCAGATGACGGTTAGGGGAGGTTTCTACTCCAGCTGTAGAGACTTTTCAAACTGAATAATTCATCTCCTGAATGCAACTCTGAGAGTTCACTGGGCGGTCCTCCGATTCTTTGCGCTGAAACCTGGACTGCTTCCCAGTCGGTTGTCGAAAGGGGAAGAGCAAGCGACAGATTCGGGCTCGCCCGTGTACCTGGACTGCGGTTGATCGAAGGTGAATCGGGGGACAGGGATGCAGTCTCCTGTGAGTGGGGAGTGCCTCGCGACCGTCTGTGAGAAAGGCATAACGGTTGGGAGGAGGGGTGCGTGGGGCTGGATGAAGACGTTTGGGCTGATGGGAATCTGAGTAGGAGGTGGCGTGTGCGCCTGGGCGTGAGTCGGAGTGGATCCCTGCGACGGGGTCAGTGTGTGTGTCGGCGAATGTTGCCGCAGCGGCGCGGGAATCGGCGTCAGAGGTGTCTGCATGTGTGCGCGGAGCTGCGATTCTGCAGGTGTGTCTTGCGAGTGCTTTGTGAAGTCGTTGGAAGATGTCCTGCGTCTCAGCGTCATGCTGCAGTCGCCCAGTTTCGGGGGCGAGGGAAGCAAGCGCTGTTCCCTCTCTGGGGGTGGGTGGATGGAGATGCAGGGAGGGCTCGACTTCTTCTTTCTCTGCCTGCCGCCGACTGATTGCACCCTCATGGGAAAGGCCTGAGCGCCCTTTTCCGATCGATGAGTCTCCAGCATAAAGTTTTGGCTGTCGGTGGTTATGACGGCCTGCGGAAGGCAGACCTCGATCGAGTGGCGCCGCTGGTCATCCGAGTGACCCGCCAGTTCTAATTGAGGCTTCTCCAGGAAGCCGTGGTGGTCGACACTGAAGCCTTTCTTGACGTCCTTTGATCCTGCCCCGTGCAGACTGAGGGTGCTCTTGTTGGACGGAGGAGGCAGCATGGGGATCAAATCGAGAGAGTGCGGCGAGGCGTAAGGGGACAGTGAGTGGCTGCGACCTGCCTTGCGTCTGTTTTCCTGCTCCCCTCCTTCTGCGTCCCTCCCCCTGTGGCGAGCCGAGACGGTAATGTGATACACCTCTGCGTCGGCCGGGTCAGAGAGGGAAACGGCGGACGGAGCCCTGGGCCTGCGGAGGCTGCTGGAGCGAGAGGGCAGACGCGGTGAGGGAGGTGGAGGCAGGAGAAAAGACGGAGGAGACGGGAGAGGCAGGAGGGAAGATGGTGACGGAGGAAGAGAGGAGGGAGATGGCGTGCATGGGTGGAAGGAGAGGGCAGATGGGGAGGGGGGCAAAGGAGGCAGTGGGGAGAGTGACAATGGGGATTGGGGAGGCAGATGGGCCGAACTGGACCTCTCCTGTTGCTCACAGCTTTGGGACTCCACAGAATCAACTTTAACTGCCCCCTGCAACACACAAAATCACACACATTATTAGCTCTTGGTGGCTTTCATTCAAGGGAAAGTTCAAAGCAAGGTAAGCTTGTGTGGTAAAAATGACTAATTCATTAAGAAGTAAATAATGCAAAGACTCCTATGACGACATTAACAGTATCTTGTATTCTTTTTTCTCTTTATTAATACACATATGTTCCAGAATTTCAAACTTGCACTGTCCAAAAAAAAAAAAAAAAACCATGCAAACAGATTTACACCCATTAAAATTTTTCACATTTTGTCTTAGCAGAACCCCATCTTATATTTTATGTCACAGTCAAGCATGACAAATTAGTTCACAAGTGAAACCTAAAAGGTTTGAATGAATGCTGCAAGTCAAGGACTTGATGCGATCTGTTGGGTTTCTTTAGAAATTACTATGGATAAATGAGCATACTGTACTGTGTGATGACCAGGATCAAATGGAATGAATGCATGACTGAATTGAAATTATAATAATTAAAAAAAATAATAATAAATTGTTGAAAATCAATGCTAAATATATAAACAAACTGAACTGAGGCTGAAGTAAAAGTGTGGAGGGCATTTGTACTCTGGCCTCTGGGTCAATACTTTTTGAATTTGGAAAACAGCTCAACCTCAGACAGATTAAGAAAGCCTGTGAATGTTCTCATTTTCGTCTCACTAATGAATCTTAATTTGATTTAAGTCTGGACTTTGTAGAAAAGTGAACCTTAACCTTAGTCCTGTGGAGAAATGGTTCACTGGAATCTAAAAGACATGTGTAGAAACAGCCTTTCAAGTCTGAAGGCGGTGAAATTCTCCATGTCTGTTTTTGAAAAAAGTCACAACAGAGTTGAACTACGAGGCAGTCGGATCTCTCTCACCTGTCTGTGCAGGGCCCGTGGTGAGGGGCCCGGTGTTGGCGGGGCAATGCGGGGCAAAGTGAGGGTGGGAGTCGACTGGGGGTGAGTAGGGGAAGCGTCTGGAACCTGCAGCAGAGAGCGGCTCTCACAGGGCTGGGATTGGATCGACATCACTGAGACTGCGGGATGAGATGAATCAAGAGTTCATCACACAAAAGGTTGAATCACATCTTGCCTCCGTAGAAACATGCAGCTTTCCAGGAAAAAAAAGAAATCGTGCATGATTAGTGCTACACTGACACATGTAGTAGTTCCTGCAGCATTGTAGTAAATGACACTTTATTATGATAGCACATCTGGAATAAAGGGATCAGCAATTTCAGCTAAAAAATTCAAGAAAGTAATTTAGAGGTGATTAGAAGATGCTGAAATATCAGACATGCTACCAAAACAAAATGTTTTTGGATTTTTTTCTGAATGAATGCTGTCTAAAACATTGAATGGATTGCTAATAAGAGCAGAAATGTTATCTTGAAGCCCTTCATAGATGATAAATAATCTACATTTAGATTCTGGTTACACAAAAAGCTTCACATGATAGATGCAGTAAGGATATATTCACCTCTTGAGGGCTTATTAAGAGACTAGTAATAGGAAAGCAAGTCCAATCTCTGAGAAACTCTGTAACCAGAATCCTTGGTGTTTTGAACACACATATCCCTTGAATCTGTGAGTTCCAGTAAAGCCGTTCCATCATTATGTTCATCTTAAATCAATACCTTCAGCTCAAGCTCGAAAGTCACTGATTCCGCAAACCTCCTGTAATCTGTACACTCGTTCTTTTTTTGGCGCACATGGTTTTTGTGACTTTCCAGCTTGTCCTGAAAGTTAACTGTAGTCTCCTGTTACGTTTCCAGCCATTTAGAAGCTGAGCAGATGAGCCTGTGTGAAGGTTGCAGAGATTCACATGGATCAACTCATCCACTACAGTCAGTACCTTGGGACAGAGCTCGGTCTGCCCACAGCCGGGTCACAACATGCCATTAGAGTCTGACTGCAGATGAAACAGTTTTTGTCAGTGCCTTAAAAAATTTTCCCTTTTTTTCTGCTGCTATTTTGACCGTTTACAAGAAAAAACTAATTCTAGAAAGACAACACACCCATGACGTTATGTAACAATTTTGACACAATGTTAAATCTTGAGTGTTCACATTTTAGCCCTCACTCAAATTTCCCTCTTATTAGCTTAAACAAAAGATAGCAGAATCCATCTTCCCTCACATCATAATTTAGGCTGTTTTCTTGTCATATAATAATCTATTTTGAAAATCAAATTGTGTGTATATATTATCACATATTCTATGTAAGGTTTAGTAAACTGCTCTGTCACTAGTCCTGCATGTTAAAATATATGAACAATTCGTTTGAAGGTTTCAATTAACTCACCCGCATGCTCGTGCTGGGAACTAGCGTCTACCTTCTTTAAGGGGTAGGGGGCGCTAGCAGGGCGAATAGGTTGAAACATGTAGCTGTCATTTGGCAGAGAGTGCATCCTGGATACGGACATCTTGCCTGAAGACAGTAGGTCCTGGTCATTGCACTGCTGTTCTTCCTCCTACAGAGGGCGACAAACACCACAAGCTTCATTAACGCTGCATTCTGCTTCACAAGACAAACTGTCACAACGTGTTAAAATCAATTAGCAAATTCTTCAGTTCATGCCTATGATATTATTTTACAACAGTACGCTGCTAGCAAACACGGTTGACCTCTGACCTCTTCAGGTGAATTCGGGCATGGTCCAATATAAGTTCCTCCCACTGAGCTGTTGTTGGATCCGGTGCTCTGTCTGCGTTGCCTCTCCACTTCCATTTCTAGTGCAATTTCTGCATCCATCTCTGCATCTTCTTTTGCCTCCTATAGAGTGAGAAACATTTCTACTTTACATTTTGCAACCAGTTTTCAGGCCCATCAAAAACTAGAACGAGACACTTTTTGCTAAATGCGTGATATTTTACCACACACGCACATATTTAAATTTTTACTGTTTTCTGTGATCATACCTTGTTGCTCTCCTCCAGGTGTTTCATTAAAACAGCCACCACCACGTTGACCAAAACAAACTGGGCCATGAGCACGAAGGTGACAAAGTAAATCGGAGACACCCAGGGTAGGTAAGACAAACAGTTGATTTCTTTTTCCTGGCATTCTCTTAAAGTGTCCTTTAAGGAACCAAGAGTAAGATTTAGACACCAAAATACAAAGAGACACACAAATCTATAAAAAAAAAGGTGACACAACCGGAAATCTTAGAAAAATATGACAAAATTTACAAGTTAAAACACATGCCTTGTTTTTCTGTCATGCAGATATAACCTGAGTAAAATAAACATACATTATAAGCAACTTGATCAATCACCATGATGACACACATAAATTTTATGTTTTTAAACCAAGAATTGCTCCCAATTTAGTCCTGAAGTGAAAAAAAATGCATAAAGCTCTGAAAAATAATATCTGTTTTGGAGGCAAATAGGTTGATTTGATATTTCTTACAGTTTAGTTCAGCTGTCGCCGACTGAAAAGTTGTCATATTGTTATTATCATTAATATTATTCTAATTTGGAAGTAAAAGAAAGTTGTCAGTTTAAGAGATTTATCAGAATATTGCTTTTTTACATCCACTTTAGAGCATGTGGAGCATGATATTAGACAATCAGATCAGTTTACAGAAACACAGAATTTTATAATCTCACCATATTAAGAAAAAACAGAAGAGTTGCCTTCCAAAAGTTTTATTATTTTATATTGGACCTGTCAACTCATGGAAAATAGATTATAAGATTTTAAAAAGGATAAAGAGCGACATGAGCAGTTTCTCAAACAAGTACTGTAATGCTTCTACATGTGCGCTGTAAAATGGGGAGTTGGCGCCCCCATGCGTTGAGTAGTTGTCACGTGCTCGCTGCTGAGAATAGGGAGATGAGCTTAATGCACAGAATAATATCCTGCTCCAGAAGTTCACATAATTGGCGGCATTCTAATTGGCCGTAGCTGTGGGGGTCGAGAGGTGGAGGGAGGTGGAGATCGTCCATGGTGCCATTCATGCGAGAACTGCCACTGATACAAGGAGCATAAAAGCTGCTAAATATAAAGACATAAAGCCCAGTTTGATTTAATTTTATGACTGATTAATAACTCATTACTGACAATTCTACACAGTTCAAAGGGGACATTTAGCAGCATCTTGTTTCTGTTTCTCAACTGCTTCAGCAAAGGTTGTTTTTTTTCTTCTCCTCGAGGGTGTCTCTAATTGGTCCAACTACAGAACTAACACAGATCAGCTAAAGAGAACACCACAAATGTAGAGGTAACAATTCATACCAAAGCCATGTGAAAGCCATCTCCAAGAGAGTGAATTTAGAGAGTTACAGTAAGATTAGGACAATGTATCTGTTTCTATTTACTCTGATCTGATCCACTTAATGTATTTCATGTCTGTATATATGTGGGTATGTTTGCGTTTGTTCTAGCCCTATTAGGTTGGTAGGTTAAAGGTACATTGTTAACTGTGTAACTATTGTACTGCCTTCGCATTGTACCTCACGATAAAGCATAAATAAAGTTTTGAAAAAAAAGATTAGGACAAGCGTGATGGAAAAAAAAGATTTTTACTCAAATAGGATCAAAACAGCTATGGTTTGATTCAACAAATACTGCAACAAGAAAATATGTTGGAAAATGAACCTACTTTGACTGCTATTCACCAAAATATCCAAAAAGATAATTAACTGAAAAATAATAATTATTGCATGTTTCATTTTAAATTACATCTACCTTAGAGCATGTGGAGCATGATATTAGACAATCTGTTCAGTTGATCTAATCATGTAAAGACAATAACATTATTAAATATTGAGACAATGATCTAACTTTGAATAAAGTCGCTCTTCATTCCTCTCTTTTTATTAAACCTGCCATCACAGATGCAATCATCTGTTTCACGATGGCATCATATAGAAGCTCTAATATTATTTTATAGTGACACTGAATTTGGACTATAGAAGTGAAATTGTTCGAATTTTATTCTCACAATTGGAATATTCTAGTAAACGAATATTTTCCTTAGTCATTAAAATATTTTTTTATTTGCTTATTTGCCAAAAATTAAAGAAAAATAAACTTTCAGCATGAAACCAATTTGACTGAAGGAGTCTTTATGTCATCATCTTTTTTAAAATACATCATAGTGATAGAACAAGATCAAGTCGAAGTACCTTTATAATTATAAAATCCACAAATTTTAACATTCAACCAATATTAAGATAAACAAAAAGTATCAATAAATTTTTTTCAGACCTCATCCTGGAAGACACTCACTCTTTCCTCTTTAAAGAAAAATTAAGTTTGAAAAATTTTACATATTTCCAGTGTGCTGTAAAATAAAGAACTTTCGTTGCCAAACTAACTACTTTACAAGCTATTTTCAATGAGGTGAAAATGAAAATGTTAGTGTTGACATTGCCATGCTAAGCTACTTTACTTCCACATAATTAGTTTTAGAGGTCATTGTTCCAATAATCTAGTCATCAAGTATGACAGTCTTTGTCTTCAGTTCTGTGCATGCGTGTGCGCGCTTGTGTCTTTGTTCATACTTTCATAATCCCATTCCAGTTGTCTCCTGTGGAAACTCGAAACAGTGTGAGGAAGGCCATCCCAAAATTCTCAAATGTTGCGTGACGGCTCAGCCCCTCACACGGGTTGCTGTCGCTGCATTCTAAACAGAACGAAAACATATTTTCGCATTATTTACACATCAGTGCCCTGATAAAACACTCCAACATTGTTGATAAAGTGTTGATAAACTGCACTTTATCAACAATGTTTACCATACAAATGTTGAAAATATTCCAGAGAGAAACAACTCTGTTTTTGTTGTTTTTTTACCAAGTACAAAATGTTTAGAAACTGAAATTAATTCTCCAACATAGAATGCAACCAGTCTACTGTGCCTATAACACTGAATTGCTGTAATTTATGAATACTAATCACTATGCTTACCCCATATATATTTTGCATTAAACATGTAAAATACTTATATCGACTGCTCTTGATCAATTAGATTAAACAAGATGTTTTATTTTTTTGAGAAAGTTTGAGAACATACTGTTGAAGATTAGCTTGATATAAAATAGTCTTTTAAAAGAGAATTCAATTAGGCAAATATCCATACCTTCATTATCATAAAGCTGGCATGAACAAGTTGTTATGAGCCAAATGCACCATTTGACGGGAGAACATTTTGAGTTTTGAGGTAGTAACCTATGGCTTTCTTGACATAAAAAAAAAAAAAAAAACTAAACAAAAAAACATTCAAATTCAAAACTGCCTTTAACTCCTTCCCTGTTGAGAAACATACCAGTTTTTCTACATGTAGACCATAAACCCTGTACACAGTGTCACCATAAAAACCATTCATTTGTAATCATTACAGTAATGCAAAGCATTACTCCTCTACTTAAATATTTGAAACATGCAAGCTTACTTTCAGAGATTATTCTTAAGATTTGAGTCTCAGACTCTGAATCTGAATCAAATCTCAAGTCTTAAGAGTCCAAGTCGTTTGCAGCTTCACTGTATCTGAAGTCCATGTTGCAGACTTGATTCCCCATGTCTGCCATTATTCTAACATGTTTAAAAAACACGCAGGCTAATTTTAAATCAGCCAGAAAGCTTTATTTGAGGCAGACCAGCTCAAAATAAACCCCCTACAAGTGCAGGGCAGCAGAAGAGAAAAAAAAAGGGCTGAGTGAGACAAGGAAGGATTTTCCCACAGGAACAAAATATATTTCACTCCCAACTTGCTATGATAAGCATTTGATTTGATTTTAAGAAAACAAACTGTTTTGTTGTTGTTTTTACGTTATGCATAGCAAACCATCTGGTGCTTTAAAGGAACCAATTTTTGAACATCAGTGGATTTTGTTTTCAGGAAAATTGATAAATAATTGCCAATGTCCCATTTAGAACCTCTAATGGCTTAGTTACATAAAAAAGGAAGAGTACTCTGAAAAGAGAGCTGCTAGGCATGTTAACATGGCAGAGCAGTGAAAATAATTATTTGCAGTGGACATGGAAATCTTTGAGCCAGTTCCGAGAGAACGCCCCTGAGGAGCAATTGTGCAAAATTAAAGCCAAAAGATATCTTTAGCTACTTTAAATTTGGGTCTCACGAACAGGCAGCTGAGGAAGACTGAGACTGTCCACCGTGTATGACGTGTCTCTTTTTTTTCCATATCAGTTAACAAGAGAAAAGGGAGAGGATTTAACAATGTCACTTCAGCTCAGAGGAACTGATTGAGGCAGTTTTGCATAGTAGGGAAAAGGAATCTGTCTTCACTCAGAGAGTTCAGTTTTTATTTTATTTTTTTTCCAATATAACCATTTGTGGTGTCTCGGGAAGAAATGGAAGACACCCAGAATGTCATTTTTAGATTCAATCAGTAATTTCTCTGGCAGAAAGAGAGACCCTCCTTTCCCTTTCTGTCTGACTCATATCGAGGCAGCACGAAGACAGTGTTAGAGATGGTGATTCATCTGGGTGTAGATCAAAAGAGATTATTAATTAGATTTAGTTTTGAGGATCAAAACGAACTAGCATTGGTGTCTGGTGTGATAAAAATAGCTTTACTGGAGTGCTGAGCCATACATGCCATGTACACACCGAGTCATTTCCCTGTAACACCACCTCATCTGCACATGTGCTGTCAGAGATGAGACTCCTCAACATCCACAGGTATTACTCCACCTCTCACTAATTCTTAGCATTTAGGCTGTTCTTCAAGGAGCATTGAAGAACTGTGCTTCAACAAACATAACTTTCCCCAAGCTTTTAGTGGATGAATGAAATACATTGAACTTTTCCTTTATAGTAACTTTGCTCAAATGGCTGCAACAATTTTTATTTCATTTCCCTTAGTGAACGTGCTAATAAGATGTAGAACTCTCATTTAGACAAAAAACATACATGTTTTTCCTGATCGTTTACGAGCTATAAATACTGTTAAAGTGCAAGTAGCTGCAATAGGAAGCTTAAAATATCTTATGATATAAAGAATTTCAAATTTCTTTTATTACTGAAGATGCTGTAAGCACTTGTGACCTACACTACTGCTGGCCCACCTGATAAAATTGCAGAAACAGCTTTAAAATACACTCAATATCATAGGGTTAGCACAACCTGACATCGCCTTTCATTCAGTGAGTTGGTGGGAGTGTTCCTCATTGTTACCACTTCATCACTGACACCCTACATAAGAAGCATAAGTATCTATGAACCCGTAGTAGGTAATTCATTACTTCCTGCTTACTTGTTGTAAAAACACTACAAAATATGTGTCTCGTGCAAATACAGAAGGTATGTGTTGATCTTAATAAGGCAAAAAAAATTAAATAATTGCAATATTTGAAGAGGGGAAAACCAAAACTATGAAAAACAAAGCTGAACTTGTTCTGCACAGTATTGCAGGGTAGGTAAAAAAAAAGGAACACATTCTTCATTACACTGTCAACTAAACAATGGATGGCATAATGGGGTCATCAAGTCCCCATAAAAATTCACTTCAAAACTTGTGTACATTGACAATAAAATACATCCAAGGTTATTTGTGTCTACTTTATTTTTCACAGAACATTTCAACTTGGCTTCTCCTTGGTTAGATGAAAAATGAAACGAGGATATGTTGTGCATCATTTTAACGTTAAAAACGTAGAATTTACAGAATTTGCACTTTTTAAATATGGCTCTACCTCCATTTTCTCCAGCTCCATATTTCCAAACCGAAACATGTTTTATAGAAAAGTCAGAGGCATCCATACAAAACAAATAGCTTTTCTCAGCACTCTCGGCAATATAAGAATCACAGTAAACAACAACAACAAAAAAAAGCTGGATATTTTCGCCTTATGAAAACACATCACTTTCCTGTGGCACATGCAGCAGGAGGTATAATGACATTTCCCAGAAAGCATAAGCTCTCATCAGCAAGTTGTTTCTATGTTGTCTTCCCAGATGCCTGATGTGGCTAATCCTCTCACAGAAAACGAGTTGGATGTTGCAGGCTTGTCAGGAGAGCAACATGAAAATAAACATGAACATGCAAACGGTTTGTTCCTTCAGAACAAACCCCCACTCTCATAAAAAAATGAAAATAAGAAAAAATAAAATAGAGCGGTAGGGAGACAGATAGGGTACACAGTGAGAAGCAACAAAAACGATTCAGGCAGGGAAATTTGCTTTAAGCTGTGAGCGCGGGAACAATAAGTGAATCTCAAGCCACTTTTCGCTGAAGCATGGAGTCTAGTGCGAGTGTTGTTTTTCCGGCTGACGTGTGTGCGTGCGTGTGCATGTGACTGACCCAGTTTGCCGAAGAGTTCCACTCCCAGGGCAGCATAAATGAAGAAGAGCAACATGAAGAGGAGACCAAGATTTCCCACCTGGAAGCGATACACATGTTAGACTCCCCTCTCCACAAAAGAGAGCGGCAGTGTAAATATTGCTCGTTTGAAACTCCAGGGAACACAACGATTAAGACTGATGTCAATGTTTTATTGGATTTAGTGTGTCTGACACATATTTGACTTCATTTACGGTGAGACCAAAATAGAAAAAAAAAAAGTCTTCCCAGAATATAAATTCTTTGCTGTTTGACATGTTTTGCAAATAAAGCAGCCAACACCTGCTCAAAATGGAGATTAAACAGATGTTGAATAAAGCTAAAGCTGCTTGCAGATCCAAACACCATGTTCTTGCAGCTCATGATAAGAGAAAGGCAATGTCCTTCTCCTCTCTCTTGTATTATGCTAAGAAACTACAGAGTAAGAAAGGGCCCATAAAGTGGCAAAATGGGGAGACCGGGTTATAGAGCCTGCTTTTAATAAATGCCTGCTTGAATGACAGCACCGTTTTCTTTGTCAGTCTGCAAGATATGCAATCTTACAGTGGTTGAGCTCTAATAAGAGTCGTTGTTTACCTGCGGCAGTGCTTGCATGACAGTATCCAGGAGAGCTCTCATTCCCTTTGCCATCTTTAGAAGTTTTAGGACTGCAGGAGACACACAAAAAGGTTTAAAGCAGTCTTTTGTGAGTTTTAGCCAGCTATTGTTGCAGAGCAAATGTCCTATTCATTATACAACACTAAAGAAATAGTTGTCCTGTCATATAGGATGTGATTACATTTCAGAAAGCCATTAATGAATTTTCAAAGCATTTAAATTAACACATGGAGTTTTAAAAAAATACACAAGTTTGGTTATTTTGTATATGCTTGTGCGTGTGTACCTCGTGCAATGCGCAGCACTCTCATGATTCGGATGATGGTAGGATTTATTGGCAAAGCAGCTTTCATTTTCAGTTCTTCCAGAGTGATTCCCATAATGGACAAGGCAACTATTCCAACATCCAGCTGATTCCACCTAAACACAAGTTTAAAATAATTTTAATGCCACTAAAAGACTAACAGTGAAGTAACAAAATGACTTGTGACAAATGAAAACAACAGTTTTTCCGTGCTTCACAGTACAACGCAGTGCAAAAGTATGTTTCACCTTTGAGCCTTTTCATAGTTTATCATGTAAAAAAAAAACTGTGAAAGACGGTCATGGTTTTCTGCGGTAGGGAAGCTAATCAGAATTGACCATTATTTATAGCTTATTGTTTTCCAAGGAGGAGAATGGAAATAACAATTTACGGTAAGTGTTACTGGAAATGACACCCATAATTAACAACAACAACAAAAAAACAGTTTTAACTGAAATCCCTATCAACAAAAGAATGGATGGGTTTTCCAGAAACATACTGTAGCATATCATTTAGCTAAAAAATCCTTAAACGTCACAAACGTACTTAGAGCAGTGACAATGTCAAATAACTACAGCTTCAGTTCATAATGCTGTAATTTCAAATAGAAATTACAGCATTAATAAGCTCAAGCTTTGTCCTGGAAGACCATCCCATCTTTGTGACACTGATGTTTGCTTCTGAATCCAAACCTATGCATTAACTGTGCTGCGTTTTGTATGTTCAAAACTAAGACTGGCGGCCTCTGAATACAGAAAACCCTCTGCAGTCTCTAATGTTTGGTGCCTTCCTTAGGGTGGTGATGACCTTAGGTTGATGATGTCTGACATGGAGGTTTCAACAAAGAAATTAACTGTACTTTCTTCAATATTTACAGAGCTAAAAGAAGAACAAGAGGATGGGAAACAGACCTAATATTAGTTCTGCCAGACTGTTGATCGTAAACAGTGAGCCAGGCATTTAAATTAATGGGTAGACCACCCACTTATCTCGTCGGGGGAGAAAACAGTAAATTTAGCCCTTAGACAAGTTGGACACACTCACCGTGCTGAGTCTACTTTACTAAACTGGAAGCCAAGAAACAATGTTAAAATACTGGGATGGTATTATTTTTTGTGGCTACCTATCACACACCATGGATTTGGTGTTCAGTGCACATGAAAGTGTTTCATATTTGCACGTATGGTCTATTGTACCTGTCTTTGAAGAACCGATGGAAGCCAAAGGCCACAAGTTTGAGCAGAGCCTCGATGACAAAGATAATGGTGAACACGTAGTTGCAATACTTCAGAACCTCCTCCAAATACTGCAGGAACACACACACCAACATGTGAAGGACATCTCGCACACAAAATACTTTAATAACTGATCGGAAAGTATTGATCAGTTATGGCTGATCGGATATGGCTTTCATTTTTAACAGGCAAACGCATCATTAAGGTCAGCAGATTTTAAAATACATGTACACCCAAAAATGATTACTGCTCAAGTTAATTATTATTAAAGCAGCTTGGGATTTTGAAAAAAATTTACTCTCTTTTTGAAAATAGAAAAAGAGTAATCAGGGATTGGGGAAAATTTTGTCATTCAAGATTTATCTAGATTTATTTAAAGCAAATATGCACGGGTGCAGACATTACCTGTGGCTGATTGTAGTGCTCGATGCTCATTGTGAAGACATTGATACAAATGATGAAGGTGATGAAGAGATCCAGGTAGTGGCTTGTGCACAGAGTGTGGATGGTCAGGCGCACAGGAGAGTAGTCGGCGTAGTACGGTCTCTGCTTGGCCTCTGAAACACATAAACACACACACACACACACAAACAAGCAAACAGAGAAAGTGAGAAAAGGGTAAATGTGGGAGACAGTTTTTGGTAACATGCCACGTCCAGTCATGTGCATGTGCACAATGAGGCGATAGTTATTCTTTATTTAGGCTTATTTAGGCTTATCTATCGTTATTTAGGCTTAAAAACGATAGATTTTTTTCTATCGTTGTTTGACTAGGATTGTATCCAGATGCTTCTCGCTGTCACAAAATGCTTGTGAAGAATATGATCCCAATTCCTGTGCACATGACTGGGTCTGTGGTGTTTTCTAATTTGGAAAGACATGAGAGTACCAGGTGGGCTCATCATTTATTCATTCAGAAACCTGTTTCCTTTGTTAATGGCACAGTACATATCTGTAAGAAAAGATTGTGAAGAAACCAACAGGCTATGCACACTAATCAGATACATCATGGATATCGGTTGCATGATTTTAAGTAACTTTAAAGTTTCCCTGTTTTACCCCAGCTACTACAAAACTGTTCTACTAATATAAAACTCTGATTAGTCATGTTGGTTCCTTCGTCCCTTTTTCTGCTTTGTTTTTTTGTTTGTTTGTTTTATCCCTGCCTCGGGATGTTTCCACTAGTTTACATTGTTCGCTACTGGATTCTTTCATTACAGTCTCCTGTTTTCTACCTGTATTGCTTGACCTAAGAGCCCTGTGTTATTCTCTGTGAGTTCTCATTGTTTTATTTAGGTAATGACTTTTACCACTTTCTATCTCTGTGCTGGGGTTCTCTTCAAACTAAAACCTGGCAGAAGAATCCTGCAGTGAAGAGGGTTGTAAAATTAACAGCAGAGGTCTTCATAACTGTGCCACTGGTCCATTTTGTAGGAAGCAATTACTACTTATGGGGAATTATTTCCCCCCGCAGTGAATACATGTATTTCAATTTGAGGTTGCATTTTTCAAAGTGAGATTGTGCAGCTCCAATAAAAGGTGAAATTATTGAAATGGTATTATACTTTCAACCAGGACACTCTTCCAACAGGAAGACAATCTCTGCATTGTACTCTACTAAAGCTATGACTGTGGATATCCATTCTGATTAATATAAAAGGAACCCACAGCCTGCTTCTGAATAGTGACCTTCTGTACACTAAAGGGAATTATATTCACCACATGAGGAAACTGTACTCACATGTTGGATGCTAGTGTGTGATAAAGTAAAGATGAAGTAGAAAAAGGCTACCCATGTGAAAAAGCAGAATTCTAAGCATATCAGGTTAGTGATACAGTCTTTATTGATTAAATATCCCACATTTAAATCAATCATTTTAAACACTATATTCCTCTTGGCTTCATGGTAATATTTTCTAATTGTCCGGTTTTGCTGAAGAATGGCTGTGATGGTGAAGAAATACTGAAGCCTCTCTCGTCTCAAATAGAATCACTTCAAAATAAAATCTCAGTCGGTCAAAACTATATTCTGCAGCGCTGAATGAGTTTGGACTGGCCCAATTCTGGTTTACGAATATATTCTGAAACAGTTTAGCTCAAAACTGTTTTACTGAATGTTTTGGACCACTGAGATGTAATAATGAACAAAACATCAGGCCCGTCCTCCAATCACACCATAATCTATTAGATAAAGTAATTTTAAAAAAAGCAAGGCAAAGAGCTGTACTCTGTCAAATTATGCTACATCCAGAAACTCAAAATATTTAATTGGGATTTCACAGGAAGGGCATTATTTGGGAGTGGAAGGAAAAGGATGTTTGGCTTTAAACTTTATTTTTTTTCTTTTTAAACAGATTTGCATTTGTGATCAGTCCTATTTAATCACGCTCCTTCAAATAAAAATCACTGGAACCAACTGTCTTCAGAAGTCATCTAATCCGTGAATTCATTTGATCTAAAAGTGATTTATTCTGTATATAATTACAGCTGTTCCAGGAAGAGGTACTATTTGTGCAAAAGAAAATTAGTGGAACTAAAACTTTGTGGAAACTACTGGAAAAATAGTTGTCAATTAAAAACTATGAACTATTAAACCTAACTTAAAGGGAGTTAAATGCAGGGCAATCCTGAAGGAAGCATTGTTAGAGGTCAATAAAATACCTGAGTAGGGCACATGTTCACTTCCTAGCAGGACACTGTCCCTAAATACAACCAGAACTTCAATGTAGTGTTTATCTTAAAACTTATTTATCAGCTCAAACTGAAAATTTGCCCAGACTTGAAAATTGCTGGACACAGAAACTTATTATCCTGAATTAATGAGCTTCAATCAAGAAGAATGGGTAAACGTTTCTCATATGCAAGCATACAGAGACAAAATCAATAAGACTTTTAAAGGTGATTGCATTGAACATTGACTCCATAAATGACTGACTCAGAGGGCTGAATAGAAATGCAAGCAACTGTTTCTTGTTTTTATCTCTTCAGATTTTTTTGTATCTCTATGTATCTTTTTCTTCCACTTTGCAGTTATGCACAATTTTGGTTGTAGCATGAAAGATTGATGAATAGTTTTCAAGGTCATGACATTTGAATCAACTGTCTTTTTTCCACTCATCTCGACTTAAAACATTGCTATGCGCAAAAAGATCAGTTGTCAGAGTATTTGAGTGCATTTTTGTGCTGCTAAGTTTCTGTTCCCTAACGGCTGGAACCAAAAATTTACGAACAGCTCCGTTACCCAAGATATTACCCAAATGATTAACAGGAATAGCAGCCAAAATGTCTGCTATGTTTCTGAGTCTGCCAGTCAAAGCCCGTTTGGAGAAAATATTTCTTTTCTACCAGAGTCGAGAGGCATCTCAGGGTCTTACACATGCATTGGGAGAGAGGGAGGGAGGGAAGGGATATAGGAAATTCACAAACGAAAATTTTATCGGATAAAAATTTTCCGGGATGCATGCGAAAATTGCAAATGAAATTAGGCTAAAATAATTTTTATTATTTATATTTAGTGTGACTAAATCAGAACTGGTCATACGAATTTGGAATTTTGAGTAAAAATTTGAAATTTCGTATTTTGCTGACGGTGATAATTTTTATTCACTGACTTTTCCATGCTGGGTTAGGAAGGGACAGGACTGGCTGCAGTCATGCGGTTACATGCGTCAGATTGGCATAGCCCACAGCTTCCTGCAGTGAGCTAGCCAGTCTTATAAACTCTCCCTCATTCCAGCTGTTGTTTTGCTAATCATTGCCCTATCTTTATTATCTTTTTTACATATGTTTTTTTTTTTTTCTTTCAAGCTCTGAAAGCAGGCAGTGCTCAGAAAAATAGACTACCGACCAGCCCCTCCATTCTCCTTACTCCTGCGCTTTTTATCTATCATTTTGAGCCTCTTCTCCTCCCGTAAACGGGCCTCTTCCTCCTCCTGGTCCTGCCGGCACTTGTGGAAGTTTTCCACCACGACACCGACGAACATGTTGAGGACGAAGAAGCTGACGATGAGCAGGAAGGAGATGAAGTAGAGCAACATCCAGGGGTTGTGGTTCCTCACAGGCTGAAGATAGGGGGAAATTCAAACTTTTAAATTAAATAAAAAAAAAATGTTTGTATGAAGACAAGCAGATGACAAACACATTTAAGTCACACAGCTTATGTCTTTAATGCAAAACATGGGAAAGCAAATTATAATGACATTTCTGTTATTTTATCTCATTTATTCTATTGGTAAATTTTTCTTTTTAATTGTTTTTGTTGAAGTGTTGCATATTTCAGCAATTACTCCCTCTAGTTTTGGATGCCGTGCAGCTGAAAATATATTTGCTCTTACTTTTTTTTTTAACTTTCCGACAGTTGTTATGATGCAGAACCATAGAAACAAGGTATTATTTATTTCAACAGGGAGCAGCTGATTAGCATCTCAAAATCTCAATTAATTTTAACGACTTTCCAAACATACATCCAGACAGAAATTTGAAGAGGAGTGACAAAAGAAAATGGGTTGGATTAGCGCTCACCAATAACAGATCATTTCCCAGTGGGATAAATATTACACTCTATTGCCTTGGTATTATATAAAAAATTACAAAAGATTGTATTTTTTGTCATTCAGACGACTGTGACTCAACAGGTCATTCAGTCATTCAGTCCTGCAGACAGAATGCAAATACTTGCCTGTTGATTCACTCCGACTGCATCTAGTCCATCATACATGATGTTGACCCAACCATCCTTACACGACAGCACAAACAAAGACATCAAAGCCTGGAGACAGAAAGGTAGTTGTACTTTAACAAACTTGCATTACCTTTACTTTGATGGTGCGCTTTAATGTGACTGAGAAATGCAGATTATGTCAATATTGTGCAAGCTTCATATAATCACAGATTCATTTGATTCATCCACACCTGAATCAAGTTGTCAAAATTGTACTTCCTTCGTATCCACTTGTAGTTGGCAAGTTCACAGTCTGACTTGTTAGTGATGTTTTTTGTGTCCAGACCCTCACAGTGGTAAAACTTTCCTTTGAACAGCTGGAAAAAAACAAAACAAAAAAACAGGCAAAAGAAAAAATGGCATCTTCAGTGCTATTTGACTTTTATTAAGCTGTAACCTCAGGTGTGTTCAGCAAATAATGGCAACAATAAAAGTGTGTTTCAAAGAGTGAATTGTTCCAGCAGAATTTAAGTGCTTGTAAAAAAAATAGCCTAAAGGTCATGTTTTTTTTTTTTGTTGTTGTTTTTTTTAACACTATCTCTAGTTGTGCATTTTCTTCCAAACTCACACCTTTGAAGAAGAAAAACACCAATATCTTCTTTTTGGATATTCTAGATGCTTTTCAATCCACACGTGCACTGCTGTGCATTGACATTTACACAACAATAGGTAAAATAACTCAGGAGAGTGGCAGAAAGAGAGATGCATCACAAGTGTGGCATGAGTAATTGGCGTAGTGCAAGCTTGTGCGATTGAGTAGTGGGACAGTAACCACCTGGACCCCCAAGATTCCAAACACGATGAAGAAGGCGCAGCAGATCAATACAATGTTCCCAATAGGTCTCAGAGAGGTGATGAGTGTCTCTACGACCAGCTTCAGACCGGGGGCGCGACTGATCACCCTGGAACACACGGTTATACACTCAGATAGGGACAAATTAAATAGGCTTACAGCAGTTCCTGTAAATTAGCATTGAAGTGATATAAATAGTCAATGTGCACCTGAAATAAAAAAGTTAAAAAGATGCAATAACCTGGTTTTGTGTAGACCCTAAAGACAAAAGTTTAAGTATTTTCAGCCGACATTCTTCTTTGGAAGAGGTTGATCAGTATTTAGCACCATAGCAGTGAACTATTCTGTTGCTAAAAAAACATAAACAAAATTTCTGTGCATCCCTGACTTTCTATCAGACACCAACAACCATCAGTTTTGACACTGTATTTCACCATCTCACTCCTTTAAATTTAGAAAAGTCACATTTTTGTAATGTCATTGTTCTTCTGTCCCACTTTATCATGGTGCATATTAAACACACTGTATTTTCTTTGTACACTTTGCCCGAGTAATGTTTGTACAATAGTATCCTTTGCAAATTCTCTACAAATTTGTGATAGATTTGAATTCTTAGTTAGATTAATAGTTCATGGGACCAGTGGTATTATTTATGTAATTGTTGGACCTCAAAAAGATGGTATTTTAACAAGATCTCAAACTTTTTTCACATTCTACACACAAACACACTATGCACCTCAGAGGGCGAAGGGTGCGTAGAAGACGAAGGACTCTGAGAATCCCCAGAATCCTGTTGGTGCCGGTGTAGGCCAGAGAAACTAGAATGTCCACCAGAGACACAAAGACCAACACTCCATCCAAAACGTTCCAACTGGACTGAAGGTAGGTTTGATTCCCAAAGCAGAAACCAAGAGCAACAACCTGAGGGAACAGTTAAAGCAGCAGGAAGTTACTACAGCACAATTTAAACCCTCTGGTTTCCCCCCACCCCTGCTGTCTGAGGTTAAAAAAAAAGTCAAACAAATATAATTGAAGATACTGTTTTTTTTTACCTTGATGGCCATTTCTGCTAGAAAGATCACAGTGAAAATGTAGTTGGACACACTTAGAAATACTCGCTCCTAAATAGAAAACAAAAACAAAAGAAAGTAACAAGACAATGCTTAAACAAAGTATAGCTAAGTTAATCCCATTGACCAAAACAAGATGCTTGTAATGATGACACATTCTGCTCTAAAAGCAGCAGGAGTTCCCTTTATATGTCTCAGCTTGTAAAAAGATTGCACGTTTGGAAGACGTGCAATGTTTATAAGAGTAAGGCTTCATTTTGCAAAGGCATTCACTTTCTCTCTTTCAGAGGGTATGAAATGTAACAAATTACGTAAAACCGCTAATTTAATCCAAGGGTTTTCTGAAAAATGTAGTAATAATAATAATAATAATAATAATAATAATAATAATAATAATAATAATAATAATAATAATAATAATAATAATAAGTTTTCTACTGACACATGCCATGCCTTTTTTATGTAATCAGTTTTTATTTTATTTTTTTTATTGAAATAACAAATACTGTGGCACCTTGACTTGTATATAAAGGTAGGATTTTTTTTTTACTTTTGCTCTTTTTTTAAAGTTGGTATTGACATGCAAAGATGGACCTGAAAGAAAAGTTTTACTTGAGTAACTTCAACTCTGCTATCACATTTATTTGTCAGGTGGTAAATAAAACCTAAATCTGAAATCAACACAACATCTTTGTTTTTTTTGTTTTTTTTTTTTGTTGTTTTTTTTTTTTCATTAGTATATCTCAACATTAATGTTTTTAGTATGAGAAAAGTGAGTGAAATCCATGGTCTGGAAAAGACAAGTGGACTGTGTGTGAACAAAAGTGATTATGTAAACCATGTTTGTCCATGACTCACTGTGCTGTTAGCCTTTATATCAGGCCTCTCCAGAGCGATAGTGATGCAGTTGAGGAAGATGAAAACCAGAACCACATGGTCGAAAAATTTGTGAGTGATCACAGCTTGGCACCACACACGGACTCTAAACAGACAAAGAGAGTCAGATACCAAAATACCTACTGTGGCTCTGAGCTACGAACCAAACATTTAGAAGAATGACAACAGGGAACTTCACCGAAGCTGAACAAAATTTTGAAATTGTGGAAAAGGCGGAATGACAAAGTCAACAACTATCTGTGAAAATACAGATTCATTCATTTTGTGTAAAAACTCAAAATTAACAGAGACATTGGGTAGTGACTGGAATCAGACAATCATCTTGATTGACCTTGAAAAATAATGAATTGCTTTGAAGCTGAAAAATGATTTTTTTTTTCAATCATTTTACTAAAAGCTACCTCATCGACAATCACCTCTTTTTCGGATATTCATTGTTAAGAAGTTCCAGTGTCAGAAATTTACTATTGAGTTAAGAGAAACACAAAAATAGAATTTTAAAAAAAAATTATTTATTTATTTTTTTTATTTAAGCTCAGACTAGTTTGCCATTTTTATGCCTTTTCTTCTTTTAGCAGATAACAGGGAGGCTAAAAGGTGTGTGTGCGCGTGTGTGTGTGGGGGTCTTACGGGTTCTCCGGTGCAAACAGATAGAGCGTCCAGCTCTCGTGTTCCTTACACCAGCGGGGCTTCATATTGTGGAGCTCCCTCCTGACCCAGTAGCAGAAAGGACTCTGCAGCAATGAGAGGACATATATATTTGTAATTGTCAGAAAATCACCAGCATCTTCTCTGTTATTCACTCGAGCATGCTGTAAACCACAGCTACAATCCCTATTAAACTGCAGTTTGCATCGTGATGGCAAATTGTAAAATTTTTACTACTACCACATTCGTTTTGTTAACTGCCCTCTGTTAAATTTTTTTATCTAATTCAGAAGGCAGCAAGCAAACTGCTTATTAAACAAGCTCCTTTAGCAGCACAGTGATTGAGCTCCAACAAAGGCTTTTATTGATTAATCTCCATTATAGAGCATTGTGACAGCCTGATTGTTTTGTCAACATAACTTGAACTAAAAGGAATCTGAAATTACAAATAAACAATCAGAGGCATTCTGTGTCTTGCAGTGTCCAATCACATTCGGCATTTTTGTCTGAAGTTACAATAAATTAACACAAACAGATCAAACATTTGTTTTCTGAAGTGAATGTGTCTTGCATTTCTAAAACAAACCAAAAATACAGACATTATGTTGTGATTTGTGATGTTTTTATTTAAAACTATGGTGATACAGCTGAATGTGTTTTCTGGTAATTTGTGGATTTTGTATGGATTTTCTGAAATGTAAACAATTTAAAATAAAACCTTTGCATGTGGTTGAGCCTTCGCATTGACCTGACTTGGACACATCGCAGACAAGAGATTGAATTGTTGTACATAACTAACAGTGTGTCAGAAAAACTTGACTTTCGACCTGTTTGAGGGATCGGCTGGCCCAGGTTTGACTATTCTGAAAAGTTCTCCTTGTTTGCACCAAATGTTCATCAAACTTTTGCATAAGGTTCTTGAAACAATTTGGTTTTCCTCAGTCCACAGAGATTTATCTCTTAACACGATTCAGAATCATTCCAGCTATCTGGTCCAAGCATAATCCACAGATCAAGCAGAACTTTTTTCTCATGTGCTCTCCGACGACGTTTATTTGATCGGTTAGACTTTTAATGTGATAATTTTTAATGTAGATTAGCAAAAATGTAATTCTATGTCTGTTTCCCTGGGACTTTTGATGTTTTTTTCCATGTGCACTATTGGAGAGGAAGAAGCAACAGCATCTTTCATCCTTGGAGCAAGGAAGACTTTAAGTGATGCTTTAAGGTCTGCTCCGTTATTGTTATTATTATTATTTTTTTACAGTATGTGCTCTGTTTCTTGTAATTGTTTATCTTGTAACAGTGACAAGAGAAACATCTGGTGAATTGATGGTTCTGAAGACTTGAAAACCTCTATTCCATTAAATACATAATTTAGAATCAGCTTTAGCTCAAAACAAGCTTTCATCAGACCTCCTGACTGTCCAATAAGTCAGATGAAGTGGAAGCTGGATGGACTGAAACAGTATAAGCCAGTAGGTTCTGCCTCAGATGACTGCAGCTGTGGGATGCATCAAAGATGGTCTAGAGAGCTAATTGACCACTTTGTGGCATGGTGTTGGAACAATCATCTCATCTTGTATATGAACAAAACAAATTAGATAATTGTAGATTTGATGAGAAACAGGAATGAGTCAAACCGTATTTATCATGGAAAAGAAGTAGAGGTGATGAAAGAGTGCAAATACATCAGTGTTCGTGTGAACAACAGGCTGGACTGGAGATGCTATAGTGAAGCAGTATACAAGAAGGGATAGTATACAGTATATTGTACTTCTTGAGAAAACTTAAGAAAATAGAAACTATGAGTCTGCGGTGGAAAGTGAAATATCTTCTGCAGTCAGCTGCTGGAGTGGTGGCATTGGACTAAGGGGCTTTTAACAATCTGATTTAAAAGGTGGGCTTCTTCAGGGCTTCCAGAGCCCACCTTTTAAATCTGATACTTTACAAGGACATATTGGACCACCAGGAGTTTGCTCTTTACAAAACTGTTAAACAACAACAGTGAAAATCCTAGAAAATCCTCCTGCTCAGAGCTTTCATTATCTAGTCTTTGAAGAAATTAGGACAGTTTGGGTTACAACCACATTCATTCTGCCTTTCCGAATATTAAGGTATTTTTGAATTGATTTGAACTTAATCAAACTGAAAAAGCTGCTTAATCATTTATAAGTATATTTAAAAGTATTTCTTACAATATGTTTCTTGTTAGGGATTTGTGCTTGGATTTGTGCCATGTTTCTTTCATCTACTGAAAGAAACATATATATAAAAGTAGAAAACAGACAACAACAACGGGTAATATAAATGATTACATTAAGATTGGTTCTTAACTTTCGATTATTTTGAGATTGATTCTTAAATTGCGACAACTCTATATACATTTCCTAAACAAATTAATGTGTTACCCTTACTTTAATTTACAGTGTTTAAGTTGTCTACATTACCAAAAATATATTTCAAGGTATACATTTGTAAAACTGTGAAATGTATGAATCCAGACTCATATAATTCAATAAGGACTTTACGTTAAGGACAACGCTCAAAACAAAATGTTTTTTTTTCCAATGATGTTTGTAATGCTGGGTGCTGTGGCACGGAGTAGAGTTTCCCCAGCAAAAACGACATGAAAAAACACATTTAAGAAACAATTCATGTCTTGAGTTTGTTGCGGACTGCTGCTGATGTTAGACGGTCCACATTTATGTCTATAGGGGAACGATAAACATGTGTCTCCTTGCATAATACGGTGGAAATAATTGGACCAAAACAGGTGGACTTTCAACTCAGCAAGTGCAGAAGCTCAGAACAGAACTCATTAAAGTTTGCAGTAAAACAAACAGAAGAAAGCTTAGGTCCACAGCTTCTGTGCTTTAGGATTCTAATTAAAAACAGCCCAGAGTCAAGCCTCCCAGACTCTGCTTTTTGGGCACACAGGCACTTATGTGAGCATGTGTACATCTGAGAGTGTCTTCTATTTTTGTGTGTGCACGTGTCCCAGTGAGCGTGCAGATACAAAAAAGAAGGACCTGCCGCTTAGATGTTCTTGGAGCCGAGATCTGAAGTCTCTGACACTGAACATCCTGCTCACGTCTCACTTAGCACATTTTATACACAGATTAACACAATCCATACACAACCACACCCATACATCCACATGCTGCCTGTAATGCACTGAATGCTGCATTCAGTGCGTACCCATGGGGAGAGGCCTTTTGTTTCACTCGATTTCATAGCATTATGAACTCAATTTGGAGCCAATAGAAAAAAAACCTGAGCAATGTCACAACACAGGTCACATGAAACCACCAAGGGAGTAAACAGAGCCTCAACGCTTGAGCCGACCTGCATGCGTCTACAAACGTTTTCAACTGCTTTCAACCCAGTGAGAAAACAATTATCGGCCCAAGTCAATCAATTAAAGCATGACAATTAGCGTCCCTCTAGACACTGCATCATGAACACACACACACACGCACACACACATTGCGGAGCGAATCAAAAGAGATCATGAGAAAAGGGTTAGAAGGCAAAAGAAAACTGATGAAGTGTGGGTGTGGTAAAAAGAAAAACAAGTCATGTGAACCGCTATAGATCTTATATTTAGAAAATTGTAGCCTGAGATGAAGAACAGGCTATAGCATTATATACTGATGCTTCACACTGGGACAAAATGGAGAGGGATGTTCATGAAATATCAGTTTTTAGGTATAATTTACAGACTTACCTACTTTCTTTACCACAGTCTTTCAGGATTATTCTTATTATTTGGGGTTACAGATTGGTGCAAATACATTTATGCACCTGTTTGTCATATAACAACCACCTCAATATCAATGTGCTAGTAGTGCAAGTAGTGCATAATTGTGAAATGTAGGTCAACGGTTCATTATTTTTAAAAGTTGTTACAAATAAAGAAAAAACATATATGATAGCGTGAAAAAATTAGAAAACATTTCACAAGGTATGGACACTTAAAAGGCTTCATTTGTTTGGAATCCCCAAATGAACAATGGTGAAAAGCCAAATTGTAAACCAGCCCCAGCTGTTACACCAGGAGTCTCACGTGTGACTGTCGAACTTTGGTACACAGAAGAGCCACTTAGTTACTACTTAGATCTTCTGGATGACAAACCCACTCCACCATCGGGAAATATTGAATTAGATTTTCTGAAAACTTGACAATGCCAAACCTGTTCACTAGTTTTAGGTTTGTGTTCAGTTTGAGAAACAAAAAGAATCTCCTTTTGTTTTGAAAAGAAAATCACATTTGGAAATGAGCACTTAACTGCAAACAAGTAAATAAAGGGTTAATGTAAAACACCAGAACGGATCAGAGGAAAGACCTTAGTAAACTGCTCAAATCTCACTGCTGATTTCTAAATATGTGCATTATTTCAAAAGCAGGGAGTCATGGTAACTTACATCTTCATCTAAGTCATCCTCCGACGTGAAGTCATCTTTGGGGTCCGAGTTTCCATTTGGGTCATATGTCACAGTCCTCCCATTGCAGTCGCCATACTCTGCTACTATGGTAGGGCAGAGAGAAGATGCCTGCAGCGGTTCCAAGGACTCCGGATTTACTCTGCTGTTCACCCCAGCTTCCTCTTGTTCTTGGCACTCTTCCTCCTCGCGGCCTTCTCCAGACAGTAAACTTTCCCTCTCTCCGCTGGTGTCTCGCCTTTTGAGGCTCGGTGCTCTCCCTAGACTGTTCCAGCTGGAGCGGCGACTTCCCCATGAGCTGATGGAACCGCGGAGAGGGAGAGGTGAGCGTCGTCCAGGGCTTGAGAGAGTCTGCAGGGGGAGAAAGGGCTAAGTATTTAGATATTCTATAAAAAAACACATACACCTTTCAGTATATTCTAAAATAATATGCTTGACAATAGAGTAACAGTCCGCATACTGTTCTGAAAACATTGTTGTTCCGTTTTCTGTTAAATTTCTTCTTTTTTAGATTGATATTATTGTCAAGGCCTTCTAAGTGTACAGTGGACAAATGGGTGTATTTCCAACTAAACTGTGATTTAACCTCAAAACACATTTAAGAGTTTTCCCCAAATGTATCAAGCAGCAGAAGTGTTAGGCCCCCCTGTTGTCACAAATGGTCAGTCAGCTGTGTAGGAGAGCTAATTAAACAAAATATAGCTTTGCAATAGCAAAAACAAAAAAATCAGAAAGAGTCATTGTTCCTCGTAGTTTTAGACTGCATTAGAAGATATTAAAGTCTGTGAGCAAGCCTTGTATTGACACACCTGACTCACTAGATTTGGATTGTTGTGTTCCAATTCCAAACAAATGATTGAAGCTTGTCTAAATTAACCTTGGAAATAGATCAGCAGCCTAATGAACATGTCACCCTGCAGTTCAATATTTATTAGTTAAAAATAAAAAATAAAAAATTACAAGTTCAGACTTTTATTGCAAAATTTTACAAAACTCAAATATTAATCTTTTAAAAGCTTAAAATATATGTTCAATGAACTACAGTGACTCCAGGAGAAAAGTTATTCAAGAGTAGCACAAGTTTTCTTTTTTTAAAGTGAAAACTAACGTGCAGAAACAACGGAGGGAACTTAAATAATGGGAATTCAGTGTCTTTTCTATGCCATGGGGACCAATTTGCCGACATAGTTGATATAGTTCGACTCTTTCATGGCTGATGCCCTGTAGAGTCGCCAGGTCTCAATTTTAGTGACACATCAGGGATATTTAGGGCTAGAAAACATCTAACTACCACTATGCGAGCAGTGAATGGGGTAACATCTTGGGAGATCTCGCATGTCGGCTAAATACCCAATTAAAATGCTAAATTTTCTTTTCATTGTGAACCTTTATGTTCCTTTGCTCAACATTATTTAGTACACTACTTCAACAAAAATTATTTTAGATTCCCATAACATCTGTGAAAGTGTTGAAATTACTTACTAAAGAATGCTGGTCATAGGCTGCTGGGTCCATGGATGCTGAGCTTCCACGCCGAGACTCGGCGCGGCCACTTCCTGTCTCAGAAACACCCAGCCCAGCTTCTCCATGTTGAGTTATCCCTTCTCTGTACATGAGCTCCTCCTCTAAGATGGACTCCGGCCCTAGGGAGCTCTTCGGCGTTGGCATGGGAGTGGCGGCTGTGTGCATTATTATGGGAGGAGCCATAGCGCCACGAGGGTCAATGTGACCATTGGCTGTCATCATCAGAGAGTACATCTTAAGCTCTATGGATCACAGATAAAGATTATTAGATTACTAGTCGAATACTTATTTCAAATCAATCAACTTCAAGAAAATAAAGTGCCAGGTTAGAATGTTTTGATTTTTTTTTTTATCCACCTGTGTCTCTGAGTTGTTCGACTTTGTCGTCCTCATCAAAATTGTCAGATTTCTTTTCATCGTCTGACTCTGATCGATTGGCATCACCCTATAAGACACAATTATGTACATAAAAAGTGAACCCATGTAAGTGTTGTTGTCTTGATTTTTGAAGAAAAAGCCAGGGCCTGTTGTCTTTAGACAGGAGCAACAGTTGGTTTTATGATCTGTTTTTTCTTTCCAGTGTAAGAAACAGGGACAAATCAGATTACCATTGTAGAAATCCACATTAAAAAAAGATTAAAAATAGTCACAAAATAGAAAGCAATGCTTCCCTGATGCTACAACATTGAAAAACAACAAACCTCAGTCATGAGAGAATGGATAAGCACCAGATAAATGATAACTTATCCATCAGTTGCACCCTGAGCATAATTTTTTATCATTGTAGTTCATGTGTGGAGAAGGTGTCTCTTTCTAACAATAGACTAGAAGATTGTACAGTGAGGGTTATGCTATATCATCTCACTCCAGATCTTGATTTCCTGCAAGTGAGGGGGGCCGAGGGGCTGCGGGTTTGTGCATTTTAGACAGTGATTGGTGAAATACCGTTCAGCCCATCAACACAGTCGGAAAACCAATAAAGTCATTCTCACCTCAGCCTGGAAGCCTTCGACCAAGATGGCGACCAATAAATTGAAGAGCACATAATTGCCAAACGTCATGAGAGCAACAAAGTAGAGAGCTGCCCATGGAGAGGTAGAAGCCATGCCGTTGTACAGCACCACGTTCCAATCCTCCTGGGTAAGGATCTGGAATGTGGATAAAAAAAATAAAGAAATAAAACATAGATATAGATTCATGCATGAAGACGGAGGGGAAGTGGAGGAGAAGAGATGGATGACAGCAGAAATAAAAGAGGACAGAAGGACTGGGAAGTTTAGAAGACGTGTAATTAAAAGGCAAGGAGTAGTGAGTTGAAGAAAAAGCAGCACGAGTCGATATGTTAAACAGTACATAAATCGATTATATGCATTATGAAGCCCAGTAAAGAGCTACTTACACTGGAACAATAATTTAATTTATGAAACCTCTTGGACTGTAAGTTGCGACAAGTGGAAGCAGCTGGATGTAAATGCCTGCCTTTCTGTGCCTGTAGTTGGATAAACATGACTGACGGAGGAGTACAAATCTGCACACAGCATTCATGTAGGCTGGCTCTGCCTACTCATTTACCACTCTGGGCAAAAGGCAGAGTCCCTCTGTGCAGCTTCTGTGAACTACGATATGCGGCTCTGCACACATCTGTGTTTTTTTTTTGTTTGTTTGTTTTTCTGCTCGCACACCTTGATAACTGTAGTAAGAGTGGACAAAGTACGAAGCGAATGGAGCATTCTCAAAGGACAGTTGTGGTGGATAAAGTGCCTCTTCAGCACCAAAGAAAGTCCACTGCAATGTGTATTCCACCCTTCTGCTGACACATCCCGTGCGGAAACAGAAAAATGGATTTGGAGCAATTGCACAATATCTCCACGGGGAGGTGGAGCGAAAAATAGAAATCATGGTGAGGGATAGATGCTGCATGCAATTAGATACAGTTTTTGCATTTCAAAGCAGACATGGGACAATTTCACATACATATGAAGACCCTTTGGAGTTCTATTGACATGTGTTTTGACCTGGTGAGCCTAAGTAAAACAAAGGATGGAGACACTATTTTTATACTGCATTTCTTGAGTGTTTACTGTGCAAACACTGTAAACAAAATAGCTGTTTTATTTAGCTATTTCCATTTTTTGAGATTAGGAAAAACTCAGTGCATTGTTTGAGAATGTATTTTTAATAGGGATAGAGATGACTAGCAAATTGGGTAATGCATAACTAAGGACAGACATAAATAAAAATATACAATATATAACAATATATTTGAAAAAGACATTTTTCTACTCACTGACAATAAATCAGACTTAAGGTTTCTTGATTAGATCATATCCAAAATTATTTCTTTTTACCAGTAAAATAAGAAAAATAGCTTATCATTAAATTATACAAATTATTACAAATTGGGAAAGTCCATTTGTTATTTTACATAAAAGGAGAACAAAAATAAAATATCCTGTGAAGATCCCGACTGAAGCTGGTGTCACTGTCCACAATGTTATGTTAAGAATGAAATTAAGGAACAAAGGCCTAAACATAGGAGTAAACACAAGGGAAATAGAAAAACTCACCTGGAATACAGTGACAATGGCCCAGAGAAGCGAGTCAAAGTTTTTGCGATCAGGAATGGTGTCTCCGTTTTCCATTCTTTGACTGAATTTACATCCGAACAGATGCATGCCAAGTATGCTGCAGAAACACAAGCGATGCATTAAAGACCCTCTGAATGCACACAGACAATGTTGATGGCACTGCTCAAATAAAGGAATCTGATAAAAATAAATTAATCTTTTTTTGAGCAATCTCACACTAAAAATGTTGTTAATGCCCCTGAAGTTCCCTTTAAAATAAATTCACCCAAATCAACTGACCGGAGATTTTAGAAACTTCCAATTTATCATCTATAACTTTCAGTTTCCTCATGGTATAAACATGATGTGACACAGAAACCTCTTCCTCTTTGCCACATGTCACTTGTCTGGATAAGGATCCGTGTTCATCTTGTCCAAACAGAATGAGTTCTTAAAAACCCTTTAAACCTCACTTGGTTAGGTCCACGCTTGTACATTTGATTAAAGAAAAATACTAACTTTAAAGAAAAATGCTAACTTTTGCAAGTATCTGAAGCAAAAGAGGGTCACTTTCTAAATCAGCCACCCACTTACCGACTGGTTGTTATGGATGGATTCCAGACAAAAATCTTATTTGTTCTCCTACCATCACAAGACATTAACATAAATAATGTTGTCTCTGTCAGACTGAAGTGTTTTTGTGACATGCCACAATAAATTGAAAAAAAAAAGTCAAGTTGCCCAACTGTTTCATTAAATTTGTCTGAAAAAGCTGGTCTACAGTCTATTGGTATTTTTTATAATAAATTTGAGAACCTATTATCTGAAAAGTGCAATGTGCAACTGTACGCTGTAATGGTGTGAATTGAAAGAAAATTATGTTATCCTTCTGGCTAAAGGTGCGTGAAATAAAATTTCATGGGTGATTTTGTTTATATAAGAAAATTTGGATGTCTCAATTTGTTTTTGTATAAACTGTCATAAATTTGTACTTCATACTTTCTGTGTGAAATTATGTTAGCAAACTTGTCCAATTCTCCATGTGTTAACATTGACATTGTCCTTTTTATTGACATTGAAAGCAGCGACATCGATTTATCGACAAATAAGCAAGAGAGGCAGCAGATTTCCCACTTCTGCACCTGAAAGTGAAGATGAAAAGCATCAGCAGCATGCAGAAGGTGGCCACATTGTCCATGGTCTTCATCAGCACCACCAGCTGCCTCCTCAGGGCAGGTAGGAAACGTACGAGCTTCAGCACTCGCAGCAGGCGAAATGTACGCAGGACTGACAAACCTCCATCCGCTTGACCTATTATCTCCCACACACTGAGAAACATGAACAAAAAAAACAGCTTGTCTCTGAAATGAACTTTTAAAAATATGTAAAATCAAGAGTAGAAAAGTATTGAGGAGTAATATTACCTTATGATGACGATGATGCTGTCAAAGATGTTGTAAGGGTTTCTGATGTATCCAAACAACCCAAAAGCCAGCAGCATGAAGCCCATCTCCAGCACAAACATGCTGGTGAAAACAATGTTGCTAATCTCCAACACATCAGTCAATTCATCAGGCTGGAGGGAGAGAAAAAGAGAGAGCTTAAAAGTCAAAAGCAGAGTCAAGAGGAAAAAAAATTAAAGAGGCAAAAAACAAACAAAACAGTACTCTTATCACTGAACTCTAAAACTCTGAGTGTTCAGGTCACACTCTTTCTCTGTGACCTGAACAGAGAAATTATCAATCAAGTTCAGAGTTGCGGTCAGGCCAAATCAATCGTAGACTTCCAACCGCATCGATATATCACTGCTGATTTACTTTGCTTACCTCACACTATGGTCAATGATCCAGAAAAGATTTGACTGAGCCTCCTTCTGCCCCTCACAAAGCATGTATTCAATCCTTATGAAAAATTCTGCAATTTTTGACTCAGCTAAATGCATTATGGAACCCTGCGTAGCTTGAATAAGTCTTTGGAATAGGATCTAGTAAGAAGTTGTGATGCACTTTTGCATTAAGAAACAAAAAACATGCACAGAAATTAAACACTGAGATATTAACATTTGTAGTTGAATAAGTGGAAAGAGTATGCCCTAACACACAGGTGTGGTTCATTTCAATATCAACTTCAGTTGGGTTGATTTCTGGAGCACAGACATTCGCAAGTTTTTTTTTTTTTTCTAAGTCTAAGTTAAGACTCAAGTTTTCAAGTTTTGTGAAAATGCACTAAATACATCTAAAACACAAACACGTCCAAACTGCAAAGTTCAGATGTTGGACTTGGACATTTTCTAAATATACTAAATGTTTACAGCACATTGTCCTTTTCATTGTTTATTTGGAATGTAAGCACATTCAACGTTGCATGCAGTAAAAACAGTTCAAACTGTATTATATATATTTTTTTATAGTTTTCATAACCAACTTCTGCTGAAATTTCAGTTGCATAATTTTGATCTTTTCCTTCTTATATTTTGCTGCCAATCTTTCAGCTGGACAGTATCATCAGCTCTTGGCAACAAGCTTTCTGCAGTCCCAAAGATTTACATGTAATGAATAATAATGATCCCCATGTGACTTAATTTTTCTTGATCATAAATAATTAAACTCTGCTTTCTGCCTCAAAGTGGGTGAAGCTCTGAAGCCTGAGATGCAAAAAAAATCATCTCATGTCACGCAAGGGAGACTCATTAAAAGATATTGCATTTCTTTTCATGTGCGGATCAACAAACCACAGTCTTTGCACTGGCGATGCCGAGACCAGACCAGCGGCATAGAAAAGGAGATGGAAAATGTTTAAGACTAAAAGTGGAAGGGATTCATTTACAAAAATCCTATTATGACAGATTAGAATTACCCTTAGTCCCCAGGGTAATTCTGTTCCTCCATCACCCTGAAAACATATATGCAATATGATTAACTGGTTTTACATTTGGATTCCTCATAAGCTGTGTGGAAACGTGCAGCATAATAAATTGCGTGCTGCAGAGTAGGCATCATTGATGGCGAATGACAATACAAATCAAACTGGTTTCAGAAATGGGTACAAGACACAATAGCATAGCCATAATTATAGGGTCAGGACAGAGGTGGGGCATTTCCCCTCACTTTTACATCAGGCAATTTTGAGTGGTACAGTGGTAGTGACTGTACCTCTCAAAAACAGAGATCGGCCGTATTAAATGGAGAAACACAAGTTCCAAGCAGAAAGGTGAAGCATCGCTTCAAACCGCCTGTAGGCTCTTCAATTGGCTCTGAAGTTACTTGCTAATGTGTCTTTAGACACTCCATCTTGTTGCAAAAGTTACCTAAATGTATCTGGTGAGGAGTCTGGGTGGCCTTGCCAGAAAGTTATATAACCGAGACTGGAAAAGTGTCTCAGTTTTATTAAAAGTCCAGGTAAATAAAATATGTTGGTAATACTATTATTGTTATGAAATGTAGAACCTTAACAACAGCAACACAGCGACAGCTTAATGCCAACAAAATAAGTTTCCTTTAGTTTTTTCTTCATTTTTTTAAACTTGTGTGCTAAATTACACATAAATGATTGTACCAACCAAATTTATGAGAATTGTTTTATTTTTCTTGGTAGTAAAATACAAAAACCCAGTCCACATAGCAGTTTGAGTAGGCTTATGTATATTAATCTTTAAATGGCACTTTACAGTCCATTCAGTGATGACACTATGGCTCACAAAGTAGATCAAATCAATGCAAGGCACCAACCTGTGAGCTGAAGATAATGACACATCAATGCTTGAGTTGTTTCACTGAATTTTTATGATCCAGAACTATTTGGGCAAAACTAATTTCCACCCCGACCTTGTAAAAAGACAGCACTGTACAAAAAGTTATACTGGAATAGTACTGCTATCAGAAAAGCAGGCTTTTGTGATGGTGCTATCATTTTAACACCAATATCATTTTTAGTGCTATGTTCCCTCAGGTATTGATTCTAAACTCTCTTTATTGCACTTTCATACAAAATGGTGCATCTAAACACAATACCAGTGCACAGGAGGTTAGATTTTGAATATTAAGAATCTTAAACAGCTCTGAATTTGACCTTGCTTTTTGGATACAAAGATGAAAATTAGAACAAGATGAGAGATCAACACCCACACATACAGCTTTTCTTGCAAAGCAAAGATTTGTGATGTTGATCGTGTATTTTGAGCTTATGGGACAAACACAAAGAGGCACATCAGTCTCACACAAACCACAATTTGTTGTGTGCAAATTTGAAAAAAAAAAAAAAAAAAATATATATATATATATATATATATATATATATATATATATATATATATATATATATATATATATATATATATATATATATATATATATATATATATATATATATATATATATATATATATAATTATATATATATATCAGTACCATCACAATAGACTGTATCCCTCAATAAATCAGACTTATTGATAATACAATGACATATTTGGCATCAATATGACACTCACTAGAGGTGGTGTAAATTGAAGGCACTGTCAAAGATGTTGTAACAAGTAATGTTTGATATTTTAAAGTAAATATATATTTTGTCTAGTAAAACAAGGTTAATATGAATCCTAGATGAAGTTTTATTTTGAAGTAAGAGAGGAGGTAGCTCTTTAGTTGCTTAGTTAGTTTGATAAAATCTACTAATAAAACCTGTGTAAGGCTGGCCAACAAAATTTGGTTACAAAATCCATAAAGTCCACAACTTCTGACAGCATCCCAGGCACCACATAGAGCAAAAATGTTAATAGAAGAACAAATTAAAACAATTTGTGTAAGAAGAAAATACTGTGGAAAGCCATTAGGGGCTAAGATGCTAAAATTAGGATGCAATTCAAAGCGCCTTACCTGTGGAAAAAAAACAACATAAACTCCACTGCAAATTTTTTTAATTAGATAATTTCTCACTAAAGCGAACCTCTTAGATTGAAAATGTCAAGATTATTAACTTTGAAAAATCCTTACACAGTATTGACTTACAGTGAAAAAAACTAAACAAAAGAAAAACAAGACTACCTCCAAGTTTGAATGAGTCTAAACACAACCAAAACACACTAAATCGACACACCATTGGTTCAAGGAGGACACAGATTTACACCGTCAGGGTGAAAAAAATTGGCTAGGTGTCACAAATGGAAGTTGATGGGTGCTCTAGTGGGAAGGAGCTCATACATAACACTTCAGTGTGTTTACATGGATGTAGTATTGCCCAAAAAAGGCAAAAGCTCTCCCAGTCTTTCCCCATGTTTACATCACAAAGACAAAAGTGCACACATTTTGCCATGAGAGAAAATTGAAGGAGACTGAATGCAGGACAACGAAGAGGAGAAAGAAAAGCAAACAAGCAAAAAAAAAAAAAAAAAAAAAAAACGTAAATCACATCCAACGACCCCACAATTCAGCCATTAGACAGAAAGAACAATAATAATAACCTAACTCATGTCTTTTTTGTTTATAAGTATCAGAAAGAGAAAAAGATTGAGGAAGAATTTTGGTTGGATTTTAAGTATCCTCTAAAATATGTTAATATGAAAAGAAACATTTAAAAACTTTATAATGTGTTCTTTTATTATTTTATTTTATTTCTTCCTCTTATTTTTGTATATTGCTGTTAATTTCTACCTGCTGTCAAGCACTTTCATCAGCATTTTTGTTCTAAGCATATAAATAAAGTTGAACTGGTTTAGTGACCTGTCCACCATTGTTTTATATTCCAAATACATTTTTGGAATTTTCAGACGAGCAAATGCAACTTGCAAACAATATGTTCCTCAGAAACACAATGTGAATCTTACTTGTTCATGGTACTCTATACCCATGCTGAGGGTATTGACGAGGATGGCGATCATAATCCCCCGGTTGAAGTATTTACTTTCCACTATTCTCCTCAATTTTTCCCTGAAGTCTTTCCAGGCCTGGACGGCTCCGTTTCTGCACGCAACAACCCCACGGCGTCGGAACAAACTTCTGAATCCTCGTCGATCGCCCCCCTGGAAGAAGCCGTTTCATCACACCAACATGTGCTGTATATTCAGTGATTACCAACGTTTGAAAAACACATGAACCGAAGATCGGAAATACACAAACTTATATGCTAAAAACTAATCAACATGTTATCTGAGTTTACTACGTTCCTTATAGTATCGGCACCTATCCTGACCTGCTGAAAGTCGCGGATTCCATCAGCCTCTCCTTTGCCCCCCTCCAGGTCTCCTAGTTCCAGTTCCAGGGTCTCAAGGCTGCGGGCACATAGAGGGCAGCTAAGTAGCTCCAGAAGCAGAGGGCTGGGCACGACGCCTGCCAGCTGGATCAACAGCCTCTGGCGACCTTTAGACAGAAAGTGATAGGAATGGTCAGAACTCTGCCAAAGGAATGTTTCTGGCTGTTTTCATCTTGTGGTCTTTTTGGATTTTTATTTATTTAATTTTGCATATGAGTACTGTTGGCAACAGCTATTTAAGAAATCTAATTTAAGCAGTGTATTTGGTACTTAAAGTTAGCAAATTAAAATATGCTGATTTTGTTGTCCTTTATTATTTTTGGCACAAGTTGCATTTATGGACAACAATATATCTGAAAGAAAAACTGGATGCCGGTATCCTCAGAGTGAATGATAAAATCTTGTTTTACTGCTATCAAAAGTGCAGCACTGTTTAAAATATTAAAACTGGAGTCTAAAATGTAAGTATTCATCTTTCTTGCTGCTTGATTGTGACCAGGTGGCAACATGAGCTTCACAACAATGAAACAAGACCAACAACAGAACAGAGCAGACAAATTAATGAAAACAAAGGCTGAAGGTCCAGGCTGTTCATTAGCTGATCAAAAATATAAAAACATGCTCCAAAACACCCCAAAAGAAATTCCTAGAACAAACCATATGTCTAACAGTCATTGTGAACTGCATTGATGTCCTGTTAAAAAGCCCAGTTATGACCACATAGAGGAGTACCATCAGCTAATAAATATGAATGCTGCAATATCTCCAAGTAGCCATATGTGGTTTGACATTTCAACAAAATCTGAAATCTCACTGTTTCATTTACAGGACAAAAAAACCCTCCCAGATCCTGATGTAGAATATTCTACTGAGCCAGAAAGCATGTCTAGTGAATGTTGAGAGCCATCCCGACTGCTGAAATTAAAGTTTTTTTTGTCAGAAATTGAATCTTTCTTCCAACTTACAGTGTCTCAAGTTTCATGATGCCTTACAAAAAACAAAAGGGAATGTTGTAAATATTGTCTTTTTATTATTGGGTGCAGTCAGCCCAAGTTAATTATGACTTCTTTTGTCCCCACTCCTCCTATATTTCTCTCCGTAACTCTCCGGCGATGGAGTGTTGCGAGAGGTCTTGACAAATTCAGTTTTTCAGACGTATTTTCAGAAAATTAGGGAATAAAGGCAGAGCGGAGATTATTCAATTACAGTTAACAGAGGCCCATAAGGCCGAGACCACAATTTCCAAAATTGTACTAGTGCGGAGAGCAGCACCTTAAGCCTGATATGAAAAATATGTATATTTGGTTTGGATTTGAGGTTCAATTTAAGGTCAGTGCTGTTGCTATTTTAAAGTCTATTGATATTTTTATCCCTTATGTGTGACATTTGTGTTAGAACAATACAAAAAATAGCCATTCTTAGACCTTGCAATGTAATACGTGAGCTTCTGCTCACTATAAGGTCATATTTTTCCCCCACAGAGCCAACATACTCTCGCCTTCACGGTAAGCACTGCAAGTTCATCCTTCATCATCAGTCTGGGTATCTGCACTCACCTTCTGTTCTCTGACTTAAAATCAGTGTGGAGAAAATGCAAAGCACAGCTGAAAACGAACAGAAGCAGAACTTAGTGGCTGGAAACATCAGCTCTTAAAAAGCAGCTTAAACAGCAGGTTATTTTTGTCAGAATGTTTCCTGGAATAAATATTCTAATAAGTATATGTACCATATTTTAAAGTCTGTTCATAGCCAAGGTTTTAGCTGCTGACAATTGATGTGTTACTCTAGTTGGAATCTAAATCTCGAAAGACTGGACATGCTACCTGAAATTATGTTTCCTGCAATCCTAGATTGTTGCTTTGTTTGGTTTTTTTACATTTCAGAGCCAGAGTAAGTGCTTCTGGGAAGGTTTCAGGTCAGAGATGTGTGTGTGTGTGCATGTGTGTGTGTGTGTGGGTGTGTGTGTGTGTGTGTGTGGGGGGGGCTGAAAACATGCGTGGGATCTCAAAAGAGTGCCTTCTCATTGTTGTTACTATACGGCCTATGTGTTAAAACTATTTTACAATAGAGAAGAAAAGTATTTAAGTCAGCAAAATTTGCAGTTTGTATATGTCTTGAGTGAGCAGTGCTGCATCGGCAGATTTAATGAGTTCATCCCGCTAACTTGGAAAGTGGATACGGCGAAGAAGAATACATAATAAAAACTTTATGAGGCAAAAAGTGTTACCAAACAGGAGAGTGAAATTAACACTCTGGGTGACCAACCTATCATTTTGTAGCAAGTGGAGAAATGGTACAGCCTCCTGTTGACGCTACAAAAAGCTGTAATGGAGACGGATGCAAAAGTTTACCATTATCTAGTGGGTATGATATCTGGATTGACTGCTGCTGGTTTTACAACATATATTTAGAGTTTTAAGGTTTCCATGATGCCACTGGTTACCCTTAAAGCAAAATGGACAGACTCCTCAATGACTCCAAATGTGTGCATGAACTTCAGTTTCATGGAACTATCAGAACTATTTTTACTGATATGTGTTTTGCTGATATAGTTCACATAGCAAAAACACACAGAAAAAGAGGACGTATGCTTTAAAGGTGGTTCCTCTTTCAGGCCAGCCTCAAGAAACAGCAATTACTTCATCTTAAATGACTTTCCCATAATTCCCTTTTTTCAAAAGGATGTTGAGGAAACGTGCAAAAAAAGACACTGGAACCTCTGATGTATTCCAGCCCCTGGTTTATCTGCCCTTTCCCTTCATCATTAATATCTTACTTGAAAGTATCACATGCCACAAAATAACAGCTCTCTTCCACCAGGCGCTAATCTATGCACACTTAATCACGTTTAGGGTGTCAGCAGTGTGAGAATGAGCGGGTCGTCACTGGCAGTCTCACCCCATCAGGACATAAACAGACAAGTCTATCATCTCTGCCTTTTTCTAAAAGGTTCTTATGTAACACACAGTGGTTGTTCTCCATCTTTTCCCCCCTCTTCTTCATGCTGTCTCCTGAGAGCTTGTTTTTTCACTAATCTAATTTATTTTTCTCTCTATGCCCTGTTCTCATGGTCTCTCTCCCCGGATACCTCATCTTTAATACTTTATGCTTCTCCTTTGAACCTCTTCTCTTTCATCCTCCTTTGTTTTTTTTTTTTTTTTGTTTTTGTTTTTTTGTAGATACCCTTGCATACCTGCTTGTATTCATGCCGCTTTGCACTGCCTAATTTCCCAAGTTTCTGATACTTTCAGTACACTGCGTTGACCCACTGAATCCAAGCCTTTCATCCACCTCTCTGAACTGATCACTGTAACACTCCAGATATGGATTTTCTGTCGCAGCTCTAAGTGGCCCGCACAAGCCACATGCAAAAAGCACACGGTCTGCCTCTGTTCAAACGTAAAGAGGACAGATATACATTAAGTGTGATTGAGATGATAGAGCCCTCATAACACTTAAAATTTTGTCACATCACAACCACAAATATCAAACGTCAAAGTATTATATTTGAGCTTGAAATTTGTGGCTATGACATGACACAAATCTCAATGAAAGCAAGCTGTGAGAGGGAAAAAATGAAGAATGTATTTAAAGAAGAAAGCATTTAAAGTCAATTCCACCCTTTTATCAAAGCATTATTTCATTTTTGCCGATATGTCTGCATGGTGTGTTTTTCTTTTCTTACTGTGCTGCCCCATGAGCTGGTAAAGCTTGTTCAACGGCTCTGTGTGCTCAGACGCCGGGTGGTTCAATGGGTGTTGCTCCGGACTGCGCCCGCACTGCTTCGAGTGGGGGGGTGGTGTTTTACTGCTGTAGCTGCACACAAAAGATGGCAGAATGGTGGGATAATTCATGCCTCCATTGAGTCGACCGAACAGCGCTCCCATTCCCTGAGAGACGACAGCAGGATTCTCGCCGCCGCTTCCGTTTGTACTTCCCCTCGGAACAGAAAGGGTCTTCATCTCCAGCTCCTCCACTCCTTCAGCGTGGCCTCCCTGGTCCATGTGCTCAGAAATGGCAGCGTTCGCTGTGTGCTGCCCACCGTTGCTGAGGTGACAGTGTTGGTGCTGATGGTGCTGCAGGAGGTTATGAATTGGCCTCAGCCACAGTGCAGTGCCAGGTCCCGATCCCCTGCTGGAACCTTGGCCGTGTCCATTTCCACCACTGTTGCTGCCAATCCCACTGCCATTAGGGTTGACCTTTTTGCGTCGTTTGCTGATCAAACGAGAAAAAAATCAAATAAAATATTACTGATCGTGGAGAAAAAAAACTTCCACCCGTTGATGAATGAAAGGAGTAAAAAGCTTGGATTTATTTACATAATATTTCAGTAAAACTAGCGCTACGCTTTGGCCTGACCTTGCATGTGTTTTTGGCAACAACTCTTAATCAAGCCTGAAGATAGAACAAGTTCTTCTAGAACTGGTGGTAGGATCGTGGAGCCTAGCTAAAAGTTGTTAGCCCCCTGTTTCTATGACAAAGTACAGAAGCATCAAGGTAGTTCTCTGGCTTTATAAATGCAACCAGTTATTTGAACGAAGTGAAATGACGTTGGTGGGAAAACCTCTACTTCATGACTCAGATGAATTTCATTTAGAAACAAGAAAAGTAAGTGACAGCAGAACGCAGCCTCTGCCATACCTGTGCCATCCATAGTACATTCTCTGCAGCCTGCGCCTGAACTTCCTGTATAGATGACTAATATATCGTAGCATCTCCTCATAGCACGAGCCTGGCTCACTGTAACTGGCCAGAGTTGAGTCATTCGACATGAAGCGAGCACGCTGCTCCCTCATCAGGGCGTTCTCTCTTTGCTTTGTCTCAGAAAACTGGGTGGCGATGACCACGAGGCACAAATTGATCATGAAGAAAGAGCCCACCTGGTTGGAGAAAGTTAAAAGGAGATGTGGAACAATGCAAGCCTCTGTGTGCAGTTATTTTCAACTCAGAAACAATATGAACAACACATAAAAATTGATTGATTGATAAACACAACCTGAAAGTAGCTAGGATATAGATGTCAATCAAAAACTTTTATGATTAATATCTTAAAATTGTTGTGATTTTGATTAGCAAAATAGTGAAAATCACTTTTACTAGTAGCCTATATTGAAATTAAATTCAAACTTAATACTGCACACAGCAATCAAAAACATTATTCACCCTTACAGGTACCACCTGATTTTGCTGTTTGATCACATTTTCATGAAACAGACCATTCAACAACTTTCAAAATCAAAGACAACCTAAGTAAATGCAGAAAGCATTTTTGAAAGCAACACTAAATATGACGATTTCATTTTTTTTTAAACTACTCGCATTGGAACAGTAGTTTTCCCTCCCTTTACCTTGCTAAATGATAAATTATCTGTGATTAACCACAATTTTTGGAAGTTCACCAGCCAAATCCATGTCTGATTGCCTCCAGATCTCAACATAATGTTAAAATGACAACATTTAAGTAGGCTAAAATATCCCAAAAAGTACAGATGTGAAACTAATTAACTCACAAGTACGGAGGTGGAGAGGGTTACAAAGATATTTAATGACTTTCAACTCCCATCACATCACAGAGAGATTTTTTTCACAAATGGAGATAAAAGGGAAAAATAGCAAATGTTCACAGGATAAGCTCACCAGCTGAAAACATCAACAGCTCATACAAATGGTGGCAAATCAAACCAGAAAATTTAACCACTGCAGATCATTTGACTGAGTTATGGTGAGAGTTCATAATTCAACATGAAGAAAAATACTGAACAAAAGCTGCATTCTTAGGAGAGTCTTCAGGCCAATATCATTCTTGGCAAAAAAAGAAAAGGGTGTAACTCAACAGAAACATAACCCAAAGTCAAGCCACTTAAGTCTCATTTTTGTTAGTTTTTGTCTGGCATTGATTTTTCACCCATTATGTAGATCTTCTTAATTTGCTTGATGCAAGTTCTTCTTGCAGAGGTCTTTTGCTCATACCTCTTTTCTCCTATACACTAGATATTTATTTGCAGAGCATAATAAACACTTTCTATATTAAAGAGTAAGCTGGAAGGGAGCTCAGTATAAAACATAGACTAGGCTTTTAGGCTTGAAAATTTGATAATCATCACAGAAAATTGCACAGTTTTAAGAGAGGCAGTTATGCTGGGAGGGAAGTTAAGAAGTTTACCTGCACCCTTTCAAAAGGTTATTGCAGGTTCTCTGAAGCAGATTTAAAAACCTCAATTACTAATCTCTTTTCTGTTCCTACAAAAGTGAGCATCTTGTTTTTGTATTTTTTTTTCCCCTTTTGGAGCACTGATCATCTATCTTCATCTATCTGCTGTCTCCATCGTTCTCTACAAATTATCAAATGTTGTTTCTTGCAATATCAATCACCTCTTTAGCCGTACTCTAATTTGGTTGTCACAGATAAGTATATTCATGCTAATATTTCCATGATCTCTAAATTTGTTGAGTCTTATTCATTCTTGTCTCTTCCACCTGTCTTCTCTTTATTTGCATGTACAATGCCTTGCAAAAGTATTGATACACTATTAGAGATTTGTTATGAAGTGGATGGAAAAGGGTTCAGAGTTTCCAAGCAAAGTTATTCAATAAATCTGGAAGAGACTAGCATGGAGTGAATACAAGTTCATGCTATACTTTACAGATGTTTTCTTGTTTGTGATTGACAACCATTAAACATTTGTCTTTAACTTCCCAATTAGGAAATGTTTTGGTTTTATGGACCACCTAAAATTCCATTAGGATACTCTAAGGTTTGTGGTCATTCTGTTGCAAAATATGAAAACATTCAGGATGCATAAATACTTTGTAAGGCACTGTAACTGAACTCTCACGTCTTTGACCCTTCTTCAAAATGCATTTTCTCCAGCTGCTGCGCTGTCACATAAGGATGCAAATATGATTCATTATAATCTTGCTGTTTTAATTTGTACCAACCCCACAGCAATATCACAGCTTCTGTTGGCTTTTCTAAACCTGTCTTTTTAGTTTTTCTGTAGGTGAAAAATTAGTGAGATCAGCACAGACAGACCCTCAGAGAAGTTTTATTCCACTTTCCTTGCTTCAGCTGCACACCAAACAAGTTTTTGTGCTGCCCTTGTGCATAATCTTGTACATATTGCCAAACTATTGGTACTCTGCCATGTGCATTCTCTCATAAAACTAATCCTAGAAGAACATTTGTTTTTTTTTCTTCTGATCTACTCTACATTTTATCATAATCACTTCCGAAGCAAATGCTGCATCTGCAGTGGCTTTCTTGGCATGAAACCAACAAGCTGCCATCTACTACCTACTGCAAGTTAAAAGTGGAGCTGCCTTCAGACGGTGCCTTGCCTTTTAAAAGATAAATCAAGTCCCTCAATTTTTTCTCTCTGTGACTTTGTAGGATGTAAGGATAATCCAAATTCAGTTCAAAATGAACCAGAGCGTATTTAGACTGTAAGTAATCACCTGGAAACTCAAGAAAGATCACAAGAATGAACTCCAACACAAAGGTATAGAAAAAACTCAATTCATAAAAAGAAGCTATTATGCCAAAATCCATACTTTCAAGAGTTGTAAAATGTTGCAGCTGAAGACATTCTGTTGTATTTTATTTGGTTTTCATGGCCACAAGAGTTGTTAAGAGTAACAACTCTGTAACAGAAAAAAAACTGAGGGTTTTTTCTGCATAACCTCAACAACTGGAGGTGTGAGTTACAGACCTTAACCACATATCAGTGAATGTAGTGGAACGTTTTAGTATTTGGCAATAAATCAGTTGTTGAGTCACATTTGCTTAAATTAAAGTTGGACATTGATATTAATTCTTTAAATAAAATATCCTAAGTTTTAAATTTGGGATGTCCAAACTAAAGGCAACTGATTTGAAATGAAATTGACTAAAGAAATAAAATAAGATGTCAGTTAACTGACAAATTGATTTTAGTTTGATTTAATTCAACTTTTTTGAGGTGTGTTTACTGAAATTAACTAAATTAACTAAACTGAGTTTAATCAAGTTCAGCTGAATGAATTAAATAAACTGTTCTCAGTTTGTAGATGAGTTTGAGTTGATTAAATTAAGCAAAATATTGTTAAGCTAAACTGAACTAAACCAAACTGAATTGTTCTGTATTGAATTTAACTCAATTGAACCAACAATAATAGAATTACACAGAGCTGAGCTGAATTAGATTTAAACTAATTTAATAAAGTTGAAATTAAATAAAGAGAGTTATCCTAAATTGCATTAATCTGAAAGGAGCTGAAGGAGTTAATTTGATTGAATTCACTATTTGCCTGGTAGAATCTATTTAACTGTGTTATACTAGCCCAGTGTAGAGTAATACAGATTTATAATTACTTAAAATGTTCATATTTTCATGTATAGCAGCACTCCTGTAGAGCTGTTCAGCTCCTGGTTGAAAGTGGGTTTAATAATCATTCAATGTCTTGTTTTGTCCTCGAAATCATGTCCATGAAATGCATAAAAAACCTTCAGACCAAAACTGGAAAGATTATTTTTGTTATTTACATAGAATATTACCTACTGTCTGATCTGTTTCCAATCAGTTAAACCAAATCTCTGGGTTTTGATCTAATTGTTATCACAATCAACAGCAATTTGCTCTTTAAAGGTGTATAAAGTATTGAAGATATAATTTCTGCTTCTGGAACAAACTGAAACTGAGCCGAACTTATTAAACAATCTACTCTTCTATTTCTGCCTTCTATAAATGCATTTGGAAATTGATCAAAGATAAATAAAGGTAGTACTTACAATAATGAGCAGTATAAAATATATAAAATTGTAAAAGGAGTGGGCATCCATGACATAATACATGATGTCCACCCATCCTTCCAGTGTGATGACCTGATGACAACAAAAAGAAAGAGAGGAGAAATTTGTAGCAACAATATAATAACCAGAAAAAAAAAACATTTCCTACAAATATGAAACCTAAACAAGCTCAAAAGTCCTCCCAAACTCTTTTAAATGTGTGCATGTTTGTGCCAGGAGACTGGAAGCTTGTATGCTAATAAGGAGGTGAGATGTTGATACTTGAAAGCAGTGAGTCAGCTCTGCTGAACTAAAAACTCGCTCGCACCTCCACATCAACACTATAGGCCAGCATTAAACCTTACACCAAGCACATCAAGAACATGCACAAATATGATATGAGTGCGGCATACCAGTGTAACACAAAGACACATGTCAAAAAGCAGGTATTTGGAAAGCTGTGCATGAATAAGAGATTTTGCACCAGTACCATATGAGATCTAGCAGACGCCAGTTTTATGCAGGCAAACGTAGAGACAGCAAACATTTATTTTAACAGAAAAAATTGCTAATATTTTAGTAATACACACCTGCAACTTAGAATTTAATAGTGTGTTTTTTCTTACAGAAACACATAGAAATAGATGTGGACATTCTGCACATTATTAGTATTAAACATGCTGGAATTCAAGAAAATATCCAGACAAGCTGGAAAATTTGACCTGTAAACACTAGTGGTTAAGCTATATATTATAGTAATTTTCCAAATTAAATAAATACATTTTTATTTGACAGATGTTGAGTCATTAAGAGGTTTTATGAGTCATTTTCCAACATCTGAAGCATTAAGTACCTAAACTAACAGCCAACCAAGGAAACTAGTACTCAAAGAAGCAGCCAAGAAGCCAATGGTTACTCTGGAAGGGGTGCAAAAACTGTTTTGCTTCGATGCAAACACTATGTGGCTGAAAAAATAAATGTACAAATAACCCTTAAAAACACAGTTGGGAGAAAAATGTTGGCGCTGTGGGAATGTGTCTTTAACAGAGACAGGAAGGATGGTTGACTTGATGGGCGGTTGGATGAAGCCAAGTGCATCGCAGTGTCGGTGGAAAACAAAACCTGATAAAAGCTGCAAAAGGTTCCCTAATATAACAGAGTCTGCAACTTGAAGGGGCTTGTCGTAATGGTGAAGCACAAACAGCTCCGCATTGTGCATCGCGTAGTTGCTAGGAGACTGAAGGGAGCTACAGGTTTTCAGGCTGTTGATGAAATACACATTTATTGTCATGCTTCTTTTACCACAGCAGTGGAGAATAAGCATAATCATAACGAGAAGGGAGGAGAAAGAAGTCACAACATGACTCAGAAACCACTCCAGTCAGTTAGGTACAACCAATGAAAACAGATTTTGTTTCAATAATGTCTACAATAACAAAGGTTATTTTTATCTTGTGTAGCCTAGTTTTCGTTTATAATTACATATAAACCATTTTTTTGCATTTTTCTGTTTTCTCTTTCACTGATGTATTGTGTGTTCTGTTTAAGTTAGACTTTACAGCCTTTATCTTGCCAATATTTGCGACTTGTCTTTCTTATTATTTTAACTTACCATTAGCTTAAATACTGATTTAACTGACATATTCTGTAGAAAGTTTCTTTTCACCAAATTTCACATGAAATGTCTTAATGCTTTAAAAAAAAAAAGAATTGCAACCATATAAATATCTCAAGCAAACTGGTGCATTCAAAAGTAGACACAATCGTATGCTTAGCAAATGAAAATAATCTCACCTAAGACTCAAAAATTGTGTTTACTAAAGCATGCCACATAGAAAAAATTGTTCAAATGGCAAAATGTAGTCTTAAGCCTTATGAGCTGAAAACACAGAGGGAAGTTTTGAGATGGATTAATACGTCTGGGCATGGGAGTGTTGAGAACTTGTGTTTGGAGTGATTTGAAGATAACACTCTTTGAGAAAGTAAGCTGCAAGTCAAAGCACATTAGAAGCAGAGCCACATCCATCACTGTGACTCGGGTAAATTCACAAGAACTGATGAAATACAAATCTCAGCAGTATAGAAAGTGTAAGCCTGCAGACTGCAATAAGGAAAAGCCTGTCATGATCTCCAAGGAAGGAAAAAGTAGTGCGAGAGAAAATATACATTTTCCATCCACAATCCACTAGGATATCCAGAGTAGCAATAACTTTATGAACATTAAATTATCGCTTCATCTCACCTGGAATATGGCTATCCAAGCGTAGCCAATGTTGTCAAAGTTAACTGCTCCCTTGTGGGGGTTGAGGTCCCCGGGGCGGCAGACGTTGTAATACTGGTTCCAGTTAACACAGTTGCTGTTGCTTGACCCGCCCACTCCAGGTGGTGAACCAATCAGAACAGAACTTTGGTGGGGAGCAGGAAGTGAGCAATTCTCTGCTCCCTGGGTGGTGGGCGGCACGTCACGGCAGCGCAGCATCCCGTTCTCCCGGGGAGCTGAGCAGATGAACGGGCTGTCTTCACCTTCCTCAGACATGTAGTAAGGATTAATGGACTGGTTGTAAAGTCTGGTTTGGCATAGAAAAAACAAAACAAAAAAGTGATTATAAAACTTTAACATGGAGACTTCAGATTATGGATGTTGACAAAAAAAACTGAATTTATTGAAAATATCATAATGACATACTGCTTTTTTGCTGTCATCAATTTCAGTAGATGCCTGATATCTAAGGTATCATAAGTGTTCAGGCTTAATAAGTACATGGATCAAGTTCAGCTTTATGAAAAATCTTGTTTTAAAACGCAGTCTAGAGTTTCAGACTGTAGATTTGACATTAACCCGTCTTAAAAAGGTTGAAGAAGGATCATAATTCTAAATATGAAGACAAAAATATTATGATACAACTCAGCTAAATCTGATGCTGCATAGTTAAAAAAAAATGTCAAAAGCATCTGAACAGCACAGAATCCTTGGAAAGTTAATTGTCGTTTAAAAAAAATAAACTTCAACAATAGTTATTTCAGGTGACTCACATGTGACGTAGCTATCACAAGAAATGTCTTACTTAAAGGCATAATGAAACTGTGACACAGGGGAGAGGAGGCCGTTTCAGTGGATGAACAGAAAATGAAACTGAAGGAAAATGTATTGCTAGGAAACTTCACAGGCCTCTTATCTCAAAGCGTATCCTGCCTCCAGCAGTTTAGGCCGTCACGATGAGAAAAGAGGGAGTAAACCAACTGTGCACTAAAGCCTATAACTGAACAGGAAATTTCAGCGTGCTATTGATTCAGATCAGTTAAACATAACATGAACAGAAAAAAAAAGAAAAAGAAAAAAGAAACAGCCTGTTATTGAACTGGTAAATTTATATAAATCTGAGCTGTTTACATTAGTCTACTTCCATTTTGAATTTGTGTAATTATATGTTTATTTGTTTTTGTAGATTTTGATAAATCACAAATAATGTTCACGTTTCCTCTACAAACCTTACGACTGCATAAATGTGCAATAGTTGATTGACTTCTATTATTTGTCTTCAAGGTTAAGTTAACCTTTATGAAAGAAAGAAAAAACTTTTCTTATAATTCTGAGACGAAAAAGAAATGATTATTACATCTGATTTCATCATACTGTATAGCCGTCATTAAATTTGTTCGACATGCAGCAATCAGTATGTCCATCTGTATCTCTGCTAAGCTTTCTTTTTGCAGTTTGAACAAAGTGATGATGTTGGCCTGATAAAGAAGGCAATTTTGCTGCAAGTGATTTCAACACAGATTCGAGTTAATAAAGTTAAAGTGATGCAATTTACTGTGTTAACCTGAGATTTTGAAGATAATCTTTGTCTTGAGTTAATATTAGAGACAAACTTTAACGTTGAACCATAAAATTAGCTGACATGAGCATCCCTTCATGCAAATTGAGGATTTGATCTGCGTCTACATCTTGTGTAGATTCAGTGTCTCACACGAGACACTGAATCAGGAGTGAGAAGCAGACATCTGTTTTATTGCTTATTAAATGAACATAATGTCTTTTTAATGTGCTCAAGATGCCCATACAGTTTATTTGCTTCAATAAGCAATGAAGCATCCCGCTCTCCATTCCACCCACTCTCCTATTGAATAGCACTTGTTGGAGAAGTTATTTGAAGACAGGAGCGAATTAGCAGGTACAAAATGAGTGACTCGGTTTGACCGAATCTAGCGTATCGAGCTATTTTCAATTAGAAAGCTCTGCCGGCAGCCATCTCGCTCCTTAATTTTATTGATTCAGTTCTCACATGCATGTGAGAATGAAATTTTACTGCTCTTATGTCCCGTCTTACTACAGGGATAAAAATAAAAAATCCTTGTGATAAAAACAAAAGACTCAAAAATTCTAATAACAGAGTATGTGCAAATTTTTTAAATTTCAGCAGAGATAGTTTTGTGTGCCTGGTCTTCTGAGAACTAAGCTGATGTGTTTTGTTCCCTCACACAGAGAACAACAGTCAGCCAAATTTGCTCTGGAACAATTTGTACAATTACATCAAAAGCAAAATTAGTCCAACTATCTCAAAGTGACATTGTATGCTTCCAGAGTTTGTTGACACAAAAGCTTCATTTTTTTTACTTTTTGCTCTTAGATTCAGTTTTACTCCCCATGGCTAAATCAGCGGCTGAGCTTCTCTTATCTGCCTAATGTGTGCATTCCTGTTTGTCTCCATGCAGCCCTGGACTGAGGAGGGGAAAGCGTGGCTGTTGCATCTAATGATGCCACATCCAAGATAAGATCAGAGACGGGAAATGGATGTCTCTGTGATCTTCCAGCATGTAAATATCAGAATGGCTATTATAACTCTTCTTACTTATTCTCATGCATGTTGTTTATAATAATTGCAGGTGCTCAAGAACACTTCTATACAATTTTGTCAGGTTATAAATTTGAATGTAATTTATGGGGTTTTGGGAGCTAAACCAAAACAAAGTATGAAATAACTGTTAAACGGAAAGAAACATTTTTTCTTTGGTTTTATTCTACTGTGTTGGAGGTAATCAGGCTTACAAAAAGGTACCAATGATATGAAAAATGGGAACAAAACATGAAACCTTTTCTTACAAGCATCCATGTTACCGCCAGTCTAAAAGTCTGGAGGGGAGAAAAAAAAAAGGTATTTACCAAAAGTTAAAAGAGTAAATTGCTTACGTTATTATGTCTTCTCCCAGGAAGCAGCGGTTACGCAGCAGTCCGGCCCACAGCTGGACTCCCACAATGCCGAAGATAAAAAAGACAAAGAAGCAGAGAAGGAGCACATTTCCCAGCATGGGTAAGGTGTCCAGCAGCAGCGTCACCAAGATCCTCATACCTACACAGTGGGACACAAACAGCATAGACGCAATAGAAATTAATATCTCACATGCGTATATTTAAATTTGTAGCTAAGTTCAGCTTATGCTGCAACTGCAAAACTTTTCAACACCTTCAAACACTTTTGATCTGTCAGTCAATATAATCACAATCTATGGTAATGAAGACTATTAATATTATTTCATCCTATGTGAAGTAACAGTTTCTGTGTCACTAGTATTAGCTACATGCAATGAGTGTCCATCATGTTCAATCAAGAGACTTTTTGAAGAGTTCTGCAGTAAGATTGCAAAGATTTTAAAACAGAAGATTTTAACGCTGTTTTGGTTTTGGTAATCATCTTACGTCTGAGAGTTACTTGTTTGAGTGACATTTAGCTGAAGAACTTGAAGAACTGAAGAACTTGAAGCTGACTGTTTAATACCGTGACATTTTGGCCAAATCATGGCAAAATGTGAATTTTAAAAAATACAAAACTCATGCCCAATATTGAATCCACTTAAACTGGTAGAAAAGGCTTGGGTTAGTTTGGTTTGAGATAATGAATATTTTGTTTAAATAGGTAATGCTCTGTTAAGTAGTTATATTGTTGACTACAACAGGTAATGTTTTGGCTCTTTCCAATAACTGACATATTCATCACTTTCATTGGTATCAAAAGCTAAAGATCATGTAATCTTTTAGTAACATGAGTGAAATTGTACTTTTTGGGGGGAGTTGTATATGTAAGAAAGAAAAGTACTCTTTCTCCACAAAATTTTACGAGTTTTGGATAAGTAAAGTGATATAAACATAGCATAATGTGAATTAGTCTAATTACAATGTTTACGTCCCTTAAGATTACTTAAATTCAAATCTGTTTCCCACATTGTCATGTAACTGGAGGGCAGATCGTGGCTTAAAATGCTGCAGAGTACAACCATGAATTACTTTCCATTTTCCAAGGATGAACTAGTCAATCAGTACATTTCAATGATCGAAACAGCAAGTCTAGAAACGTGGATGGATGCTCCAAAAAACACACCAACTGCCGCAGAGGAAATGACTCATCAGAGTCTGTTTCTTTACGCGCACACACTCAATGCCAAGATTTAGTCTGGGACACACAGTACTTTCTACATAGTAAGACAACACTATAATTTAAATTTTCTTCATTTTTATTCAAGTTTATCCGGTTACTATAAATGAGCAGACCAGTCCCAGAGCTTTAAAAAAAATTCTAATAAATAATGACAAGGTCATGACACGAAGAAAAACAACATAACTTTGTTTAAACTGGAACGATATTAGGACATACAATCAGCTAAAATGGGTATGCTCATCACTGACTGGGGGATTTTAGTCTATATTACAAAAACATTTAATCATGCTGCAGGTCTTTAATGTAATCTGAGGACTTGGCCTCACAGTGATGTCATATAATAATGCCACTCCTATCCCAAGGCAACACAAAAACCCTGCTCTTACTCTCCATTTGGTATAACTGCACACCATCTTTCGCTTCCTTTCATATTCCACAATCTGTGATCTTCACAGCTTCCCCAAATAGAAAGAAATCTTATCAGTGCACATTAAAAGTATTTTTCAAAGCCATACAAAAAATTTTCAACAATCCATTTAAGTGTTACTATGGCTTAGAATTAACTATAAGCTGCTCATCTGCATTACAGGAGCCAGACAAAAAAAAACTGGGAAACACTGACCTTTATTTATTTATTTATTTAACTCAGTAGCACACAGAGCAGGTCAAGAGGGCTCTTTTTTGGTGAGACGTCACCTCACCAAGTCCAGCGACGTCCGCCTGCCTTCCTGGCTGCCCCTGCTGCAGCTAACATTAGTTGTGAGAGTTTTCCTGTGTCAGAAGCAGCTGAGCAAACGGCAAAAACACTCTGGTCCTGACTCATGACTCTGGGAGAGAAAAGTGCACCCTGTGGGGCTTTGTGTGACTGTGACACATTGATGCATGGTGGATGCAAGGTTGACTAAAAGACTTGACTAGAAGCTATAATTATGTTTTACAAGTGCAGCAGAGAAAGAAGTTTTAATAGTCTGATCCAACATCAAAGTATTATATGTGCCACAAGATGGAAAGAAATCAACTCAATTAAAAGGGAATATTATGCTTGATTAGAAAAAAAACCTAAAAAAAAAACTAACCTTAAGGATGCAAAGGTTTTCACCACAGTGGTGGCCAAAGCAGAGCTACATTACTAATAAATCTCACAAAACCTTATATAAAACTTTTAAACTTCATTGCCTAAAGTCCAAAAAGTACAAATCTTGTAAAGAAGAGTTAAGTTCAAATAAACTTACGAAGGAAAGGGGGTTAGAGGTGGTGAACACTCAAACAACAACCAGTTCCAGGCTGGAGTAGGTAATGCATTAACAATCAGCCTTTAGTTTTGTACCCTGTTTGTTTTGTAGTCGACGGGACATTACACAAAATCCATAGTATAAAATATTTGGCCCATGCTACAAATAGATACTCCATTGATGCACCTCATTATCAATTTCAATTGTCTGAAAACTATTCTGAACAATTTGTTGTCATCTCATTGGTTTCTTATTTATGAGGATTTGGATTTTGAATCTACAATGCTAAGTTTCTGAGAAGTGGATGTTCCATAGGAATGTAAAAGTTTGGTGGTTCAATGTTGGACGATGGATGTAATAGAGCAGGAAAAATACCTGATGAATGTTTTCTTTCTATCATGTTACCGTGGTGTAATTACACATTAAAAATAAAAGATAGATTGCAGGAAGCCTCAAACAGGATAATATTGCTGATTTAAAAGAAAAAAAAAGATAATAATATTAGTGTTTTATTTACAAAACATTTTTGCAATAGTATTCTGTCTTTATCTGTTAATTTTTGTGTTTTTGTGTTAAACAAGAAAATCAGCAAAATGACAAGGACATGTAATTTTGTGAATAAGAGTGGTGAGTTTTCTGATTAGCATATTCTTCCTCTGATTGCATTGACAAAACTAAAATATGCTATTTTGGTTTGGATAGATGTACCATTCCCTGCCTCGCAACAAAGTTACTTTATGAGAACATGAACATTTTAATTAAACTCCTCCTCCCCCAACAAAGTCCAGCGGTTGCAAATAAATCAAGAAAATGTATATTATTTGATTTTTCATTTTACTTTTTAAGCATGTCATCGATTAGTACATATTGACACTAATCTACTTTTGAACTGAACTATAAGCCAAGTAGTCACAAAAGAGTGACTACTAGAAAAACGGTGGGGAATCAAAAAATAGAGCTTTACTTTATGGGTACAAACAGACTTGCAAATTAAAACCTATCACTGCATTGAATAAAATTTTGAATCAAGACCAAAAAGAAGAGGCCGAGTTGACACAAATTGCCCTTTTCCATCACGTTCATGGACTCAAGTTATGGGCCACAAGTTTTTAAATGCTCTTCCTTCATGACATTGTTATCTGTGCTCTCAGCATGTGATCTCATCAGTCTCCCGAGTTCTCATTTTGCTTCTCTTGGCAAAAGCCAAATCACACTGCAGGGAGCAGCAAAAGTGCACTGCTTTTTTTTTAAACTCGGTCCTGCAGTCAAAACAAGATGGGTGCCCAAATAACTCGCTATTAGATCCAGCAGGAGAAATCTAGGTGTTGCACACAACACTCAAGAATTCTGATGACTTATTCAAGCAATCAGTGTGTGAGAATGTGTGCGTGTATGCGTGAGCAAGGAGTGCGTACACACACAGTGTGCAAACACAACTGCAAATTATCTACAGTTGGCAGATAATTTGCAAAGCCCCCCTCCAAGTAGCAGCCCTGATAATATGAAATAAACAGACGGTTGCTCACAGTATCTAAGCTACAGAACAAAAACACAGTTAACATCTGTGTAACAACTCACCGACAAGAAGACAGCAAGACAAACAGAGATACAGAATAATGGGGGAAACAGTAGGAGAGAGGGGCATTAGTCTTTGTATGAGTGTTGCTGCCTGGGAACGTGATTATATATTAGATGAAAAATAATGTGCAGTGACGTAAAATGATTTTAGATGACCTCCATGTGTCCATGAATGTGTGTACCTGTGAGTTTCAGGCTTCAGGGGGTTGATGTACATCTATTTGCTCCCTCTGACCTTGTTTTTTAAGACCATTGTAACTAACACCTGCTATTGTCATTCCAAATGGACATCCACCGCTTTATTCTCTCCCTAGCAGTTTAATTTCACGTTGCGTTTAGAAACTTGCTGAAGCATTGTCGTTTAGTTTTGCCTTCTGTTATAGGGAAGCTCAGAGATTTTAAAATGATATCTGAAACCAAATATGTATGATTCAGCAACATCTAAGCTAGTTGTTACAAGAAGGCGAAAAGGTTGTGGTTCAAAACCATTAGGAGATTATTATTTGAAAAAATCATGAGATTGTCAAAGACTTTTGCCACACGGAAGCCATTTTGATAGATAATATTGAAAGTGGTCAGTATTCTTAGCAACAGTATTGTTGCTAAGAATGGTGGTTGACTGATTAAGAATCAATCAAGTCATACATGTAGATTTTCGTAAAGCCATTAAAAGAACATTTTCAGCACATACAGCTCTGGTTTTGTTGACATCGACTGTCCATAAATATTGTACAATATGTCCTTACTTACTTCCAGCGCCAAGCTTGGCCACATGCTAATGTATGCATCTTAGTAATGCTGTAAGTTGTTATGACACTCTTGTCTAGAAAATCTCTTTAGCTATAGATTCATGGCCCCTTCTGTCAGGAGCTTTTAGGAACATGACAAATAATGCACAGCTTCCATTGAGCTGAAAGCAAACACCAAACTCTCCGGGACCATACATCAACTTACCACAAAGTGGTGTGAACAAGCAAACCGAAATACAGTCCTGCACTGCTCAAGGCAAACAAACTACAAAATTGCAGGCCAACAGAAATGGATTTGACATACAGCGTAGGGGTAACATGGATTATATTACTGGGAAAAGGAGGCTGCTGCAGCAGGAGTAGATATTTTAAGCTGCAACATAAGTAAAAAAGATGTTTTAAGGTTTAGGCAAGGCATAAAGTATTATGTGGAAGAATGGGTGGTCAGTGTAAAAACTGAATTCCTCTAAACTTGGTGAAGAAATTCACCAAAATGTATTAATAACACTTTATTGGAGAAACATTGGAGTGACAACAATAAAACTTATGTATGAAAACCAAATGTTCAAATAAAGAACTTTACTGATCTTAAAGGTTGTGCAAAACTCTGTCTTCATTTGTGTCTTCATTACTCAGTGTTTCCTTCATTTTATTTTCTGATTCATGTTCTTGTTTTGTTGTCAGAACACCCACTCCACACACACACACACACGCACACCCACACACCCACGCATGCACGCACACACACACACGGACACATTTTCTCATCTCCCTCATCCGTGTCATTCAGTTCTCATTTTGTCTTTGTTCCTTCTGACTTGGCTTACTATTTCGTTTTTACTCACATCTTTCTCTCAGGATGTTATTCTGCTATGAATGTCTTTACCTTGTAAACAAATATTATAAACCAGTACATTTAGTCTCAGTTTCTTTAGACAAGTATATGCTGCACTATTCAGCCACAATGGCACCTCTGGGAAAAAAAATGCTTAAAAATGCCATTTTATTGTGGCATTGACTCACTCTGTAAGTGAGCTGTGGAGAATTGTTTTATCTCCCTGACAATCCTGCTTACAGTCCATTGCTGCAAGATAAATATGGCTTCTCAATCAGCTCAGTGCCAGTGGCTAAGAGAAATGGGCCTCTGTGTCATGTCGTATTTATACCCCAGTTGGACAGAAAGCCATGGATTACAATTAAAAAGTCTGTAGAAACTCAGCTCAACCTCTACATATAAAGTAAAAATAACATTTATTTTCAAGAAATTGTTAGGGTTGCTGGGCATCTGTGCCACTTGTGATTTTCAAAAGAGTTTTGTGCCCACTTATAAAGAGTCAAATTTTCAAACTTTTTGTATCTGAAGCTATTTTACTGCAAAATAATAATAATAATAATAATAATAATAATAATAATAATAATAATAATTTAAAGTTTTCAAATTCAAAACTACTTTATTAATCCCCAAGGGAAATTAAATGTTGCTGTAACTCATTCACTCATTTATTTAGATTCTTCAAAAAGTTATTGAAGATTGCGATGTCTGTTGGCAGGAAAGATCTTCTGCCGCAGTTTGTGATGCAATAAATTTGAAGAAGCCTCTGACACATTTTTACATTTTTACACATTGTTGTCATGGGTCCAAGCAACTGTATTCTAGCCTGTACATTCAGGAATGTTTGTCTTTTATTAGCATATAGCATGTGGTTTTCTAAGTATACTTTGTACTGAATCATCTAAGTTTTTTTTTTTTTTTTGGGGGGTGGACAATAAAATCTCTGTCAATGTCAAAATCATTCTCCAAAACAAAGTGTGTTCTGATGCCAGTCTACCGAGTCACTTTATCTTTGGATTGAGACCGTAAAAATGATATACACAAAGAAGCGACGATATCTCTCAGAGAAGAACAAAAGTATGCATTTTTCTTTGTTTTAGTGGAATTCAACCTCTCTAAATTCCCTTTTACCTGAAAGCAGAAGTTCCAAACCTCAATGCCCCCTTCTTCAACTGTACATATATTTATGCCTGAGATAGGTTTTCAATTAAATTCGGATACACCGATGTGCACACATGTCGTTATTGAGCTAAAAGAGCAACACTTAATTCAGTAAATCTCTTGGTCTTACTTGGCACTCTGTTGATCGCCCGCAGTGGCCTAAGCACTCGAACTGTACGGATGGCTGACAGACTGGCATTGTGGCCATCCAGAGAATACTCCATCACCCTGAAAAATGAAAGTGCAGTGAATAAACAACATGAAGCGAAACAGAAAAACAGACACACACAGCAAAGATACATGCACTCATAAACAGCACAAAGAAAGGTTGTTGAATAAAACTGGACAATCTTCAACTTGAGCTGCCCTGACGGTGACCGACTCAAGAATATAATTTTTTTTTTCTGGTCAGCCCTTTTTTTGGTGGAATCATTAGACTCAGGGTAATGCAGAAAAATGAAATCCCTCTTCCTCTTCTTCCAGACATCTCAAGGTTTTAAGTGCAACCAAACTGCTATTGAGAACTGATCATGATTTCAACCACTTATGGAAGAAGAAACCAGTTTCTGTACCCTAAAATCATCTGTACTCTTCCCTGGTACAAAATGCTGTGGAATTCTTCTCTTTCCTTTTCCTCACTGATATAATGATATTCTTTGGAACCTATGTAACCTCCCTGTAATCCAAGGCTTCAGCTCATAATGCAAAGGAGCAAATGTCAAGAAAATCCCAGTAGGACTGCTGAACTTTATTTATGGTTATCCAGATCTCTCCAAGCTGGTGTGTGTGCCCAAGAAGATTGAGAGCTGGAATTGCAACAGAAGATGGAGCAACAAAGTATTAATGTCTGGGTATGTACACTTATTCAGAGTTTATATTTTTTATTGTCTGTTTTACCCAAATCAATTTGTTTGTTTTGGACTTGAATTGTCGGAGATATATAGAGCACTAGAGGTAAAAAGAAACAAAATACAATAATAAAAACATTTTCTAATTATTTGTCTCACAAAGATTTTACATTTTAAAAGGGGTTTCCAACTTTTTACATCTGCTGTACGTTGCAGTCAGCATAATAATTATGATGATCACTCACCACTTCTCTGCTCTATTGGTCCTGAACATGGAAGCTGCATGTGTGATATATTTTATTACATTATTTTCTTCTTCACTCTTCAGGCAGAAAGCAGGTTCCCTATGCATGCTAATTTGAAAGATGGTGGATTTGTATTTGTATGCTTTCTTACCTGACTACATAGGAAAACATGGATAAAAGAAAAAGAGTCTCACTGTGACCTAGAAAAAGGTACATAGCTGCTTCCTGCCAGATGATAGCATGACACTTTATATTCTCCAGTCATCATCCTAATTTCCATCCATTCAAATGTCCTCTTAATAATTCATAGTCATTAGAAAGTGATATTTGGTTGCTCGGATAAAAAGACCTTTGAACTGATTGGTTACAGGGGTCAAATTACTCTCTGTTTCTACTTTAAAATGTTCATCTAAAAAGAGATTTTTCATCTTGGATTCCAAAGAGCATCACCCTGATTGAGTTGTGAAATGTTATTAAGCGGTGATGTGAACGGGATACCAACCCTGCCATGACAATGACAAAGTCGAGCTGGTTCCACTTGTCGCCGAGGTAACAATTGGGGCCAAATATTCCAAGGGCCACCATCTTGATGACCATCTCCACCGCAAAGAAAGCAAAGATGCAATCGTCCAACACCTGGTCGAATAAAAACAGACAAATACACAAAAAAGAAGATTTAACACTGACTTCAACCAAAAGGCTTCCAAACAGATAACCTTCTTGAATCCCCTCATCAATGCGAACATATTTTTATATACTCTTTTAAAAGCAAGGTTTCTGTGAAAAACATGAATCTCTTCAATAGATTAGTTAGCTTAATTTCAGCAGGGAGATGTTCAGACTCAGCATGGCTGGTTATGGTTGTTATTCAATTAATTAGACGTCTCATTCAGCATGAGAAATGTCTGTATTTGAGTTTAATGAGTCTGTCTCAATGTGGCATGAACCAACGCTTCAAGTATGCAGGAATAAAAAGTTAATTAGACAAGCACACAAAAGGTAATTAACTTATTTCCATCCAAGTTATATTAGTGAAATATAAGTAGTAACCCATTTTAAAATGGCTAACATGAGTAATATGTTGCTTTAATGGTGAAAAGCATTTAGAACTGTCCAGCTTCAGAGCACATTTTCTTATTGCTGCAATAAAATTTTGCCTATAAACTTGGTGCCTTGCAAAATATTACACTTTACAGGAGCGTTTACACATTTTGTCATATCGGCACCTCAAACTACAATCTATTATATTTAATTTATGGGGATTGTGTGTGGTAAGGCAACACAAAGAGTTTTCAGACTGGTATGAAGTTAATGAAAGTTAGATTCAACTTCTCACAGAGCCATTATAAATGTAGATAATATGGAAATAAAATGCGATCAGAAAAGCAGCCAACACACCCAAGGAGCTGGAGAGATTCACAGCTCAGGTGGAAGGAAAGCCAAACTAACAAACAAACCAATCCAAAAAAGAAACTTGGAAGAGGCAGCATCATGCTGCGGGAATGCTTTTCTTCGTCAGGTATAAGGAAGTTAGTCAGAGTTGATGGATAGATTGAGCTAAATAACATACAGGAACCCTAAATTTACAGCCATAATTCCAATAAAAATGATTTAAATCAAACTGTATCCCTGCTTTAAAGCGGCTCTGTCATGATTCATATTCTATTTCAAGTCCATGCTGCGTTTTGCCACTGATTCCTGTTCACCTGCCACGCCTGATTGCTTACGTGTCTCACCTGAGTCTCCCCTCTCTTTTCAGAGCCATGCTTGCTTACTTCGTCCTGAGCAACAACCAGGATTTGAAACAAAAATGTAACTTGTTTTTGTTTTGTTTTTATCCTTTCAAGTATTCCTGTGTGTGGTTGAATTTCAGGGTCCCACTGAGTGTCCTTACAGGCTCAGTCAAAGTAATATGATCAAATGTGCAATATTTAGGAATATAAAATGCTTCTGCAAAATACAGGCATTAAAACTGACAACAAAGACTGTAAATTTGCATGGTGACTATTTTTAAAAAAGAACAGTTAACGCTAGAGTATAACTTTAAAATAAATAAATATTGTGACAGTATAGAATGAAACAGATAATCTGTGGAAAAAAATGAAGCTCCTCTGCCTTCTTCCTATGGATCTTCTACTCTCTGCACATACACTACTCCATTAGCCAGAAACAGCCAATCCAAGCCAGGAGGACGGTCTAAGGGTTGTCGATCATCCTTGTGAATGCGTCGCTCACAACCTCTCTTTCTCGCTGCTGCACTACAGCTGGCTCCCCACAAGGTGTTTTGACCTGGTGCATTTCTTCAGACGGTAGCAGTAGCTCAGGGAGGCAGTGGAGGAGCTCGCTCTTTCCACAGACTGTCTCACATTAAACTGGCACAGCATGATGACACTTCTAACAAAGAAGCCATGAACACATTTTTGTAAAACTTACATCCCAATGAAAAAAAATAAATCACACTCAGAAAAAAAAAGCCTTTAGAACAGAATGTTTATGCAAGCCCATGTGACTGGGTATGACGCTCACCTGTAGGACGCGGCACCACTCTGACTGGCAGCTGACATCCTCGCAGGGCTGAAACATCCCCAGAGTCACACAGTTTAACAGGATCACCAGCATGGACACGTGCTCGAACCACGTGCAAGAGGAAAGTTAAGGTCAGAACAATATACATGTCACTCTGAATTATCAGCAACAGGCAGCCAGAACCTGTTGTGTGCAATGTGTGGTTAGTCCAAAAGATGCTATGTGACACTGTTTATTCTTTAAAGGACAACACCAACTGAACTCGAGGACACGATATACGGCGACTGGTGTAACTGATATGATGTGATCGTGCAAAAGGACAAATAATCACTCCATCAATCCACCTGAAACAGATGCCAACAGGAAGTCTTGCATAGTTCTAATGCACTAAATGGGCCCAATCGTGGCAATTTGCAGCTAATGTAATTATAGTGCTTTTTGCCAAAATCATGAAATCACCATGTTAATGAGCTGATGTCTGCTGCAGATCAGGTTGCAGTGTTTACCAAAGCAGATCAATGGCGAGGCCTAGCGCACCGCGGGAAATGTTGGAGAGATGCAGACATCATGGTGTCGCCAGGCATAATGTAATCTGTGCTTGTGTCAATTAGGCTAAAAGGCTGCGAAGAGATGAGCATGACAATTATTATTCAGAAAACCGTTGGTGCTCTTAAAGGATTGGCATCTTGTAAAAAGGAAGACGCTTAATTTGAAGGGTACAGATGTCAGGTGTCACCTTTCTGACCTGTGCATCCTTTTTGAAGAAGCAGAGAGATTATTTTTGCAATAGGCTGAACATGGTAATAGGATTTGCTTTTTTTTTTTTTTTTTTTTTTTAATTAGCTCTATGAGGACTGGAATCTAAATAGTTCAGGCTTTACTGATTCCTCATTGCATTATGCAAATTAGACATGGAAGAGATCCCTTGATTTGGTCCTATTTGTGTAGATCAACTTGGAGTGATGTAAATGTAGTTTAACTGATTGAATCAAAAATATATTTAAAAAAAATCTAAATCCTTTCAGTCGATTCTGCTTTGCATCAAAATTTGGCCAAATCCTGAGTAACGTGCAGCATAACAACCACAACTTTTCAGATTGCATGTTCTGAATCAATGCTAGTTGCATATAGAGCGTGTTGCAGTATGAACTCAAAATGACAACAGAAAACTCGTAAAATATGCATTACCCAGAGAATATTGTGCTTCTTCTGAGGCGGATGTAATTTTGGGCATTGTCTCATTATGTCAACGGAAGGGTGGGTGGGGGTCAAAGAGTACAAAAGAAGACGAGCGAGAGACAGTAAGTGAAATGGATGGTTTAATAGACTAAATGAAGGAAAATGAGGAGAAGAGTATGAGGAGAAAATGGATTACCAGGGGGAAAAAAAGCCACTGATACTGCTGATTTTCTACTTTAGTTTGGCTTTTGCCGCAAATGCACATCATCCCCCACACACACTCTGTCTTGTTTTTTTTCTTCTCTCTCTCAGTTTTACTTACACACCCTCTCAGTGAGCATGTAGAGTTGAAATATTGATTTATTTCCAAGGTGCTGTCTTAATTGGAATGTGGGTTAATCAGAAAAACTAATGGTAAAAAACTTCATCATTTCTTAAGCATAAGCAAAAAGTAGAAATAAAAAAATCAGTGAATGTAGTATTATTATTCAAGTGTTGTCTTGCACTTCATAGAATAACAATGGGAGTACTACGAGCTGCAAACAGCAAGTTAACCTGCTGTCACACTAGTTCTTATCTTGTCATGTATGGTGGTGTTTCAAAAAACACTTATTTCAGTAAAAATAAGAAAATAAAAGTGAAGTCCTGAAACATCAATTTAAGTAATATCTTTGATGTATGCAGTATCCTTTGAAAATATTACCGTTTCAAATCTCCTGGAAAGTTTCTCCACAAAGATAAGGAGTCTGTTTATAGGAATAGATGACTGTTATTCCAGGGGTGCATTCAGCAGCACTAATCTAGGATAGGAAAGCGTGGCTTAAAAATCCCCAAACTAACTCATCCCAAAATTTTCTGTCAAGTTAAGGTCAGGGCATTGCACAAGCTAGTCAGGTTCTTCCTAAAGTCTTGCATTCATCATCATCATTGTCATCTTTATGGACCTTATTTTCTGTACTGGTGCGAAGTCGTATTATCCCAAAACTGTTTCTGCAAAGCTGAAAGTGTAAAATTGTCCAAATATTTCACGGTACACTGAAATATGAAAAGTTCTTTTCACAGGAACTAAAAGAGAACTGCCAAACTCCTAATAAGCAGCTCCTCACCTTACTCCTGTCTGCTCCAAACTTCATGCTTGACACAGTGCAGCTAGAATAAAACGTTGCTCCCTGCTAACTGCCAAACCTAGACAAGTCCTTTGGATTGGACAGTGAGGAAAGATCTGTCACTCTCGAAAAGATGTCTCTACTGTGCTATAGCAAAATGCTCTGCACTGCACTTGGTGATGTAAGGCTTGGGTACAGCTGCTCGGCCATGGAAGCCTATTCTATGAAGCTCTCTGCACACTGTTCTTGAACTGAACTAAAGCCAACATGGAGTTTGAAAGGTTTGTTGTGACTGACTTCAAGAAGTTGGTGACCCCTGGATATTATGCAGCTTTGTCTTGCTAACAGCACTCTTCCTATATATGGTCTACCAATTTGTAGTGTTGCTGTGATTATGAATTCATTCTCCTTAAGAAGACACCACTAAGAGTTCAAAATGGCATATTTAGTAGAAGTAGAACCTCTATGTGTGCCCCCTAGTGGCTTGGTAATTATTGCCCCAAATTGACCAGATTGTCAGTGACACGTTGAGCTTAACTTTCAGTTTCAAAAATCCTGCATTCCTTGAGGAGTGATCTATCTACAATATGAGAATGATGGATCTCTGCAGTTTTAACTCAGTTAGTGTTGCATCGGCTCTATAAGAGTGGTACATTTCTACAATTACGTTTCCACAGTAGTTGGTGCATGTGGTAAGCAAAGAAGTGAGGCTTGAGCAAAAATGTAATCAATATTTATGCAGATCTGGATTCCACCGTGCGATGCACTCAGAGAGAGATCTTTCATTAGAGTTGAAAATGGAATGTGTTTTAGAGTGGGACCTATATTTGCTAAAGATGAAACAGTAATTATTTATGTTGCGGTTGGGTTCAGGACAACTTTTTTACAGGAAACAGTGAAAATATTCAAACTGGCTAGCTGTACTCATTCTACATGTATAAAAATGTACTAAAAGTTCTTTGCTTGGACTCATGCAGAACATGATTTGTATTCAGCTGTCATTTGCACATCTGACAGAAGATATTCTGAGCCCTGGCTGCCACTGTTCACCTTAGTCTGATTAGTCAAACCTGACAAATACCTGGCATGCTCAGCCAAAATGCCACATATACTTATTCTCCTGACGAAAGATTGCTTCTATTCCCTATGAGATAGAATTATGAACCCATGGGTCCATTTCTGTTTATATTATTGTAGCTTAACAAATGAGACATAGGTTTTTTAAATTTGAAATACGTGTGTATGGAGCTGCAGCATCAATTTATATAAAAATTGCACCTCTCACATATTTACAAGGTGATTCATTAAAAAAACATGGGAGACTGGAGCTGTTAGGGATCGAGTTCACAAAGAGATCATTTAATTTTAGCGTTTACTACTGTAGTGGATCCCTGTTAAGTTGTGTGCTCTATTGAGGTCCTTGGTAAAGATATGTAAAAGGCTTTAGTGTAAATTTAGCTTTTTTGCAGAGACATTATGTCACACAGAAAACAAATGAAAAATCAGATTTAATTTGAAGACATACATTCAGGGTTGAAATATCCTTCATTACACTCAATTTAACAATTGTGATTAAACAAATGCAACTAAAGAAACGTTCACTGTTCAGGATAGGAAAGACAATGGAGAATGTGTGGACGCGTAATGCTAAACGTTGCATCAGAACAATATCCAAGGAAACATTTACATCAATTTCAGCGGCATTCATTTTACTCAACCCGATCAGTCAAAGAAGCAAAAAGGGAGACAAAATGAGCTTGCTTTAGCTTGTTACTTAAGCAATCATCATCAGCCGAATCATGGTTTTGATTGGGCTACATTACAGACCGATCTGTATGGAGTCAGATATTCATGGAGAAAATATAATAAGCCACATCTGTTTTTTGTTGCTTTTTTCAGTAACCTCTGTCATAACAAGATAGCCGTGGATAGAAGCTAAACCAACATATGACAGCTAGCTTACAGAACCTTCTAGGAGAGAAAACAAGAGAGCTATCGAGAAACCAACAATTAAAAAGAAGAGAAATCCTCAAACGTCCTTTGAGACTTTGTCTATTCCATAATTAGCTCTGTTTACTGTGTTTTTTCTTCAAGAATTTAATGTATTTCTATTCTGTAGCCTATAGTTACTCTTCTCAGGTGTTTCTGTTTGTTGTTCTGGCTCATTGTGTAAGTTATTCTGTTCATTTCTCTCACTCTCTCAGTTCTGCACCACACACAGCCGACAAGCATCCTGCAAATGAACTAACCCGTGAAGGATTCCGGTAAATACTCTTCAGTATTCAAGAATTACTTTGCTGTCATTCCTTGTGAATATTTATGCTGTTTAAACAGGGTTCTTGGAGGAGTCTCCCCTTCCATGTATTCTGATGTATTAATTCTTTCGTTATTTTTATCAAATTGTCAAAATGCTCTGACATCTTCGAGAAGTACTCTGAATCTGAGTCCTTTGAAAAACAAACAAAACAAAAGGGTTTTGGAGTTTAAGGTGAAACAGCTTTATTTATTTAAAAACTGCTTTAAATGAGAGAAGGCTGTGCACTTTAGTCCTCTATTCGATGATATATTTTCTTTTTCTCAAGAAGTAGAGTGACAGAAAACTTGTCTCTTTGTTATTTAAAGTGAGACGGGACCTTTTAAAAATTTTACCAATTATTTTCTTGAATTAAAAGAGTTTTAGTATACTTGCCTTATCACACCAACATATATTACCTTTTAGGATTTTCATCCAATATATGAGTATTTAAGTTGAAAAAGATAAATAACAAAATCAAAATCTTAAAATAAAAACAAACAAAAACATCACATTTCATAGTTACTATGGTCTG